ACATCAACAAAGCTTCTGCGCTGGACTTGATTCCTGCCGTTGTACTGAAGAGAAGTGCAGCGTCTTTCCCATGTATCTTACGTATGCCAGAAACCTGCTCTCTGTTATAAGTAAGATGATGGAAAGGTGCATAAATCAGGAGCATCTTCTACCTTTATCGTTACGGCTTGATTTGCAATAGGCAGTATGGTTTCCACATAACTGTGGAGTAAATTCATCCAGTTATATAGTGAGGCTCGTTGCTTTTAATATCACAAAAGCGTTTGATCAGCTGTGGTATGCTGCCCTCTTATGCAAACTTCCAAGATATCCGTCGTATTTGACGATTTCTCCTTTTCATCCCACAGTGTCAACGCGGGTGTTCCCCGGGGATCGAATTGTTCCTTTTACATATCGACGACATCCACAACTTTGCTGATGATAGCTTCTACAAGGAGGAATTCAGAATGTCAAGCCGATCTCTGCCGTTAAACTGAAGAAAAGAAGACTAGCAGCGACTTGGTCTCTGATGGGAGACCTGGAGGTTATCACTGCATGGGGACGCAACAATCCGGTACACTTTAATGCTTCCAAAACACAGTACTGGACCTTGATGAACAAGAAGCATCCTAGCGCTCATCCTGTTTCGATAAAAATCTACCAAAGAGCCCTTCATTTTGGCTTTTCGGGTCCAGATCACCGAGGACTTGTTCTGGCACGAGCGACAGGTGCTGGGAAAAAGTTAGGCCATTTATTTAGGACTAAGAAATAGAAGTATACTACAATATCCATGCTTGATGCCTGAATCCGGCTCAAACCGTATCGTGCATCCAGAACTGGCTCCTTTGTCCCTAGGGTATCGAGGTTGCGGTACCATCTACCTGAGAAGCCGCGGCTCCCTGGTATTTAGGCTTCTGCATACGCGGCTGCTTCGGTATACAAAAAGTCATTAATGGTTATTTCATACAGTATGCCAAATGATACAAATCACGCAACTTTTGCCTATATGTTTGCAGTAATTTGTTGCGAGCAAGAAATCGTCAACCCTTAATTAGAGGTTTTGCTTCATCATCTACATGCAAGAGGAAAGGTGAACGATCCACGCGTCCTTGGTTGATGTCAACGTATATTACATATTGATTCATTCCACAGGTACAATCCAAATATGTGAGAGACGTAAATAAGCTCCTGGACAAATAAAACGGACAAACGTAGTACTTAAAATTCCAAGTACTGAAACGGTTTTCCAATAATGATCGTCATTTTTGTGTATACTGGTAGGCTAGGAAATAGATAATTCTTTCCTTAAGTAAATGTTTGGTAATACATATCGTTAAATTATTTCATTTCATTTATTTTCTTTATTAGTTCCGTTAGACCATCATTAGATGACATGGAACACGTCAATGGAAACAATAGAGTAAAAAATATACAGAAAATAAATAAGGAAATAACACACATTAGTGTAAGACTGTCAAAATTAATCAAACATTGTCACAAGTCGTGACCAAAAATGAAACATCATACACAGGATCGCAGTTTAAGGGGGGTCTCCTATGTAACATTTTTTCCTCGAGGCATCATTAAAAAGGTACGGGTGTTGAAGTAATTATTTGTAGCAAATTGAAGGTTGAATTCGAAAAATTGCGTTTTGAAAACAGTACCATATTAATTTTATTATAAAAATAATGCATTTAATCCCCTGTATCTCCACCACTGATGCACATTAATTTTAAGTAAAAACTTTTAAATGTGGACAATACTTAGGTTAATCCACATAAAAAATTTTAGTTCATTCCAGTTGACGGTTTTGAAGATAATAAAAAAAATGTTTTTTATTCTTAAACTTTAACACCCCGTATCTTTTTAATGAAGCCCTTGAAGAAAAAATGACCACCGTCAAAATACGGTCCTGTGTATGATGTTTCATTTCTTGTCACGACTTGTGGATCACCCTGTATAAAATAGACAAACATTGAAAAAACGTGGTAGAAACAGATTGAAATATCGGCATGTTTAAATTATATCAATAAAATAGATGAAATTCAAAAAAACAATATAAAAGTGTATAAGAACGGTAACTGCTGAAATTGAGATATAGGATATCACACACTATTATAAATCGTATTGTCAGGGCTACTTCTACTGGTCGTTCATCAGGGTATCTGAAAAATACTCATCCAAAGAGTAATATGTTTTACTTTTTAATAAAATTTCATGTTTGACAACAGTGAGTGGCAGGGAACTGAGGGTGTTTGGCAATTTGTTGAACAACCTAACACCCATTTGATTCGGACTTCATTTTGTTCTAGACAATTTGCGTAGGAACCCGTAGGATAAGCGAATTTCTTGCATAGTACCTGTTATGGTCGGAAAATCATCTAAAGTAGACTTTACATGAAACAACAGCTCGAAAATGTATGTATATGGATGGCAAAGTTAGTATTCCTAGCTGTTTGAAAGAAGCTCTACAGCTAGACCTTCTGCTCACACCTTGAAGTAAACGTACCACTCTTTTTTGAATAGTTAGTAGTTATGACAAGGTTGACTGTATATATGCATAGTAATAAGTCAACAGCAAAGATTTTTCAACGTCAAAACGTAACTGACTAATACAGTATATATAAGGTGCAACCTTTTGACATATGTGGTCCATATGAGTATTCCACTTTAAGCAACTTTTTATGTGGATACCCAAAAATTTGACAAGGCCGACCTGTTAAATGGAACCATAAAGTGATTTAACCTGCAAACTATGATCGAGGATGGAGTTTGCATAAGCGAACCTAACAAACTGCGTTTTATTTGCGTTGAGCAGGACCCCGTTATTTTGGAACCATTGCTATGTTAGTTGTAGCTCTACAGTAGCACCGATCGCTAGAGATGTTAAGTTTTTGCAATCTACTAATAGATCCCCATACATAGCATAATTAGTGCTACTGAAGTCATTAATAAAAATTATATACAGCAATGGTCCCAAGATAGAGCCCTGCGGAACTCCCACTTCACTCTTATGCACTTCGAATCTATGATTTTCAATTTCAACATACTGTGATCTGTTGGACAAATAATCACGAAACCATCACTAAGTGGAAGTCCCCGTATTTCATAGCATTCAAGTTTTTTCAACAACAGCCCAAATTGGCGTCATTATAGGGCTGCAGTATTTTTGAAAACGCATAACCCATCGAACCTATGTAAGAAAAGTAATAGAAATAACTATGTAGGGAACTAAACAACAAAAAGCAAAAGCTCCGGATGGCCAGAAACCCCGGTAGCCCTTGACCAAACGACGGAATGCCTAAAAAAGGTCAAGTCAGAAATGCGAGACACCACGTAGTGCCAGGCAGGCAAACAGACTAGGACGAATGGATTTTCCTTCAAAGAGTATCTGCTGCCGTTAAGGTGATGATTGCTTTAGAAGACTTCCCAGACAACTCGAGACTTGAGACCATTGAAATCTATATAACAAAGGCGTGCGAGAAAGTCTCTGAAGATTCACCTCGAGTACGCTTCCACAAATGCACACATAGACCAGGTCTCCTCGTCATGACGAGCCTCGATGAAGCGCGGATTGGCTGACCTCCAAAGCTCTGTGTTGGGCCTGTCTACGTACCAGACGAAAAAGGCAAACGGCATCCTCACCCGACTGAGGGGTTCCTCACAAGCCTTCCGACGCTGCTCGACAGGGTACCGTCTAAGAAGCTTTACATATACAAATTACGTTAATTTGTATATGTATGTTGAATATCAATCATATATTATAGTATACTGATACCATTTTTGTCTTGATTATCAAGCCAAGAATATACAGTTCCAAAATATCCTTACCTCTATATGCACTTCACACATTACTTTTGAACCAATTCGTAAGAGACTTTCTGTGTCTCAGCATTTGTCCAGTAGTGTATTTCACGTAACTGTTTTGCAAAGCAAGTAGCGAGACCTGTCTTCGAGTTTTAATTTGTTGCTTTTATTTTTATGCAGACATTTACTCGAAAATTTAGAAGCATGGGAACCTGGGCCGGATTCCGGCAAATAAAATAATCTCTTGAGTAGGATATTTTGCAATTTAAAAAACGGATTCTTTGGTTTCAGTTTCCAGGTATAAACGAAAGGAAACAAACAAAAGTTCTTTGATTTTCTAAAATACTTTTTAGATCGGGACAAAATTCATTGATCTTTGATCGTGTGTATTTCTTCAAACTCACGCACATTTCAAGACTATGTTTAAAAAATGTGGAAGTTTGTCGATACCCGTCCTTAAATATTGAAGATTGGATCAAAAATATTATTTGGTAATTTTCAAAGCTTCCTCTAATTTCAGCGTTCCGAGATTATTTTGAAACTTGTGACACTATTTAAAGGATATTTGGGTTTGTGTATAGTATGTTGCAATCAAATGGTGACAGAGTGGTACTCGAGGGTGTATTGAAAAAAACCAAGATAAACATTTTTCGAAAATAAACGTTTTTATTGACAAACATTTCCAGTGAAGTTTTTTAATCTACAAAAAATGTTCAAAATAACTACTTCCAGATAAAATGCAAAGCCTCATCAATTTAAACTTAACAGATAGCCGAAATTCACTGGAATTGCGAAAAGTGATAATCTGACATTGACAGTATGGGATAACCTAGAGGTTTCAGTCGGTATGTTTCTGTTAAAGACTCGCAAGTAATCACACTGATCTTGCTGGATGTAACTCATGAAGAAATAATCTTGGTATATTTGGTCGTCTCCTATTTTGAGCAATTTTTGAAGTTTAAAAAGCTACTAGTTTTATAAAGCAATGTTATTCCTTCAAAATGTTATTTACCCTGAATATTTGAAGCAAAGCAGTTTTTCGAAAACTGTCATAGGAAAAATAATCTAAAAAAAGTTTAAAGAATCATCACTTACATTTTTCCCAATGTTTAGGGAACAAACTGTATAGCAAAGGCTGTTTTTGCAACTAATTTTTGATAATCATTTAGCAAGAAATTATTAAATATTATTTTATCTTCGATGCACTGACTTACCTGCATTAGTTGTGATGGAATCAACGTCTCCATTGTCTATGGCACAACTTGGTCGTACTACAAGTAGAAAGACGCCAGTGAGTACCAACTTCATTATACAATACTACCACCGGTACCACAGTGCCCGTTCCACTGCGGTACGTCTTTATTTTACAAAGATGAACTGGAAGCTCTTCAGGGTTCCCCCTCCATGGCTCAAGCTCAAGATACGGCTAAACGGTATACAGATAAGCGCCAATCAGTTTGCCATTTGTTAACGTCAGGGCATTTGGATGCTTACGCGAAAATTGTCCAATAGCCCACCCTGAACATTTTTTAGCGAATATTTAAGTAGATTAGTGCAGGGATCTTAGGCCTGAATCTTAGAAAAAATACTTAACTGATAATAGCTTTTAGATGCATTGATTCTGCTTAATACTACAGGGTGATCCTTAATGATATGCGAATATTTAAGGGGGTTAGTTTGTTTTATGAACTATGGTCTAAAAATGTTTCCTTACAAAAACTCGGGGTGTTGAAGTTTTAGGAAAAAATGGAAATTAACTAATATTTTCAGAACCGCTTCAGATATTTCGCTGATATTTAGTACGTAGTGAAAGTTAACAAAGTTGCATATTTTTCAATGCAAAAATAATATTTAGCTTTAACAGTGGCGTGCGTACGGGTATTCACTTCGATATTTTTTAAGAAAAAAATGTTTTTTTGCAAAATTCAAATTATTTTTGAATTCCCTGTTCAATTTAAAACAAATGATCTGTCTTGAATTGTTTTCTTTTGATGCGCCATTTTTTAGTAAAAAAAGAAAAACCGTTCTTTTGTCTAACCTGCAAAATTATTATTAATTTACTTGGAAAAATTAAACACATTAGGGGTAATGAACAACAACAACTGACAACACAAACATAACATTAAAACCAACGAAATGATTACAAAAATTGTTGAAAATGGCCCCCTTCACTTGTATGCATGCTTCCGCCCTCCTCATGAAATTGCGCACTCGTTGAAATATCCCTGGAGTGTTTTTTATTCTATCACAAGCTGCAGCTATTCTTTATCTTGATTCCTCTACAGTGTTAATGGGACTTGTGTACACTAGTGTCTCAAGATTGCACCACAAACAGAAATCTAAACTGTTGAGGTCTGGGGACCTTGGTGGCCATTCTTGGGGCCCACCGCGGCCAATCCAACGATTTGGATAAACAGATTGTAAATAATTACGAATCGCTACACTGAAATGCGCTGGCGCACCATCATGCATGTACCACATATTGTTTCTTATTACTAACGGAACATCATCAAGCAGCAAAGGCAACTGTTGTTGAAGAAAATTGAGGTGAGTTTGTCCGTCAAGAAGAATGGACCAATAAAGTCATTGCCAATAATTCCTGCCCCTACGTTAACCGAAAATTGGTGGTGGAAATGGGTTTCGGTTACGGCATAGGGATTTTATTCTGCACACAAATGATTATTGTAGAAATTCTGAATGGCATTTCGAGAAAAATTAGCTTCGTCCGTGAACAGAATCATTGATTCAAATTGCGGATTTTGTGTAACTTTTTAAAGATACCACTGACAAAAGGTCACACGCCTTGGAAAATCAATGGGAAGTAATGCCTGTACTCTTAAAATATGGTAAGGATATGACACTAAAATTCTCCAAATAATTTGCTGGCAAATATTTAAGTATCTAGCGATCTTTCTCGTACTCGTTTCAGGATGTTCTTCGACTTCGTGCAGCACTGCTTCCTCAATTTCAGGTGTTCTCACACTTAGAGGTCTACCTTCAGATGTTCCTTTTCGGACAGAACCAGTTTAAACAAGACGACGATGAATATTCGACTATCTGGCAAAGCACGATCGGGATATCTCTGGTGATAAATCCGTCTGGCTTGCTCACCATTACCGTCGGCAAGGCCATATACGTAATGCATTTCCGCCATTTCTGCATTTGAATAATTCACCATTATTAACAAGATGGTAAAAACTAAATAATTAAAAAGATGTCACAGCGAACAGATTTGAATAACAGAGACTTGTCAAATGTCAAAAGCCAGTGACATATTCCAGATCAACTAAATATTTATTGCTAAATTGCATTCTTCAATTATTACATTAATTTTCTCGGACAATAGAACGGTTTTTATTTTTTTACTCAAAAATGGCGCATCGAAGGAAAACAATTCAAGAGAGATCATTTGTTGTAAATTAAACGGGGAATTCAAAAATATTTTTTATTTGGCCAAAAACCATTGACGTACCATATTTTTGTTAAAAAATATCGAAGTCAATACCCGTACGCACGCCACTGTTGCAGCTGAAAATTACTTTTGCATTGAAAAATATGCAACTTTGGTAACTTTCACTACGTACTAAATATCACTGAAATATCTGAAGCGGTTCTGAAAATATTAATTAATTTCCATTTTTTCCTAAAACTTCAACACACGCAGTTTTTGTAAGGAAACATTTTTGGACCATAGTTTATAAAGCAAACTAACATTAATTTTTCATGTAGACTCCCACCCTTAAATATTCACATATCATTAAGGAACATCCTGTATATCCTCGCCAAGCCTCAAAGGGCGGATAAAAGACAAAAAATTCATCGTAAAAATTATTTACATGTTTTGTGTGTATAATATAAAAATTGTGAAAAGTGAAATGTTCGAAATTTGGGTGAAATGTGGGCAAAGATGCCAAAGTTGCGCTTTTAAAGAACGACCAAGTACGAAGGTTAAAGCAAAAATGTTGATGTAATAAAATAAAAATAAAATATTTTATCAACTTGAAATTTGACTTAATTTCAGGGTCGAAAAGAACGCTTAATAAGGCTCTGATTCTTTAACTGAAATCATCTAAGAAAAACTCGCCATTGAAACTACAACTTGGTATGTCGTCAAGTATTAACAAAATCGGTTTCAGAGGTTAAATCTCGAAAAAACGGATTTTCTTAAAAGTTTCGCATATCGTATTTTAGAAAAGAATTATCCGATGTGAATGCCAAAGTAGGGCCACCAAAACAGAAATCAAATATTCAAGTATCTAGGAGCTGACGGTATTTAATGCTCGTGATTTTTTGTGTGCGGAAACATACATACACAAACTTACGGTGTATAGTACGGAATGGGAAGCCTGCCGCGTATAAGTCAGAAAGGCATCATATTCGCGGATTTTTTTTTACTCTTACACAGTTTTTTTCCGAGACTGTTCTTGGTTTGGTAGGTGTCTCCGCACTCTAGGTAGTTGCTAGGAAATCTTCATATAAAGTTATGGAATTTTGCAAGTCTCTTTATCGACTTGCATATCTCAATAATGATGAGGGACATCATACTTATGTGGATTTTGTCTATTATTAAATAAGTACCTACTGATTTGATAATAATGGCACAGGGACTTTTATTTTTCATTAACCTAAGTAGGTAACTTAACTGATACTTTAACGAGGCTATTTATTAAGTATTTGACTTTATACAGAATACGCAGTACACAGGGTGTTACCAAAACATTTCATTTTGTATAGATAGGGGCAAGTCGTCTATATTGTACAGGTTTTTAAATTGTACCACCTCAATATTTTCTGAAATATAGATTTCTAATGCCATCTAGTTAGACTGTTTGATGTTTCTTAACACTGCCCAAGTCTCATAAACGGCGGTTGTTAATAAAAATTCAAATTTATTCGTTTTTGTAAAAAGTGCCCACGGAGTAGGTTTTACACAACCTTATTGATTAGCCTTTGTGTCCAAATAATCGCTCTCTAAGAGTTGATGTAAGTTTCCTAATTATTGCTTATTTTACAAGATTTTAGGCAGGTGAAACTTCACATAACATCTGTTCTCAAATAGAAATCAGTTCGGCAATCTGTACCACCATTTGGTCTGTAAAATTGTACCTGAATAAGTTAGATATACTGGATATGGTTAGGTGCAAAACAATGTGTTATACTTCTGATTTTTGTGCTTAAATTAAACAAACATCGTTATTTGTTATTAAAATGTTTATATTTTCCCAATGTCCTCGAAGTCGGTGAAACGTAGTGAAAAAAATGTTTGACTCTGCATTTCTTACGCAACTCTGCCAGTTCATAAAGGATTTTGTTAGTTTCTTTGAGCTAGCTACAGACATGTAGAACAAAAAAGTAAACAGTTCAAGTCAGCCAAACAGGCCCATATAGATTAGTAGGTACTCCATAGTACCCCATGCATTTGATAACGCCAACGCTAGTTTCTCCCCTGCATTAAGTATCGACCATCTGGCAACGCTGCTGGACCACACCAGTCAAACATGTTATAAACGCCAGTCACGATACTATAACTGCTGTCAGACGCAAGGCAGGGTTAGGCGTATGAAAGTTGCGATTGCATCGCATCATCTCAACCAACAGCGTGTCTCGTCTATAAATATTTCTCCAAGTGATAAGGGAAAATGTACTGGTAAGTATCCGCTGTATGCCAACAAAATGAGATATAGCAACCCCTAACCCCGATTTTCTGAAAATGATCAGAAGAACCTGAAACGTCAAGAGACGGAGTTTTTTATATCAAATTTTCATCCAAATTCGAGCAGTACTTTCCAGGTTATAGACGAAGATTAGCGGACAGACCGACGGAAATGAGTGACATGTTTTTTCGTGATGTACATGTCATATAACATCAAAAACACATGATATCTCATTTTCGAAAATTTTCGCGATCACACTTCCTAGCCAGTAGGCGTGGGAAGTAAAATGATATTTGGCAAACAATTTGTTCGTCCTGTATTTTTCGAAAAGAAGCGGAAATGCTGTGTATTTTCCACTTTGACTGTTATTTGACCGTACTAATGCGTGGAAATTTCGAATCCATGATAAATAAATAAAAATAAATAACTAGAGTGATTAATTATTGCGACCCACATGCTCAATCTCCATAAGAAAAGGCACTGAAAATGTTACCTTTCATATACGACAGTAAAAAATTATAGCAAGTTTCAAAATAAATAAAAACGTCTTGTGTGATATTTTGTGGTCAGCTTAAAATGTTTTGTATATTATGATGATTCATACGGATAAAAGGATATAATAAGCGGGGTACCACTGAAAAATTACCCGATGTTGTTGAAGTTACCCAATGCTATTGACCTTTTTAAAAAAGCTGCTCTAAAGCCGATCAGCTGGCAACAGGCTCCTACATCGGCCCTGAGCCAAGGGCGGATTTATGTCTAGAGGGGGCAGAGTGTGGTAATCGTAGCGTGTTTAGGAAGATGTTCGTCTAAATCCGCGTAATTTTTTCATATCGAAGCAGCCGCGCAGGCAGAAGCCCAAATGCCGGAACACCGCGGCTGCTATGATGATCCCAAAGAAATTTTATTAATACGATTTTTGAACTGCCTAAGGTTAGTGTAACTGGGAAACGCTTCCTCTTGTAAATTGTTCCACCATCTCGACACCCTTGGGACAAAGGAGCGTTCGTATCGGCCAGATCTGGATGTACGAAGTTCGACACGGTTAGGATGGGACGCCAAAGTCAGGCGGGTCTGTCTGGCAGGCACATCGCGCGGCGGTATCATGGAAGAGAGCTCTCAGGAGCAAAGCCCTTATGGTGTAGCGACAGAAAAGAGCTGGATCGTCGACGGCCCGCCGGTGTGAAAGAGTCCCGAGACTGTCTGTTAGAGAAGAGTCGTCAATCAGTCGGACCGCCCTCCTCTGGACAGCATCGAGCATGGATAATGTAGTCGGTGCGCAGCACCCCAAACGTGTGAGCAATACTCGATACTAGGCCTTGTATAGAGCGAGAAGGTCATGCGGAGCAAAGTACTTCTTAGCCCTAAATAAATAGTCTAGCTTTTTCACTGCAGCTGCAGCTATTGACGAGATGTGTTCGTGCCAGATCCGGTCCTCGGTGATCACACCGATTCGAACACCCAAAATCTGAAACCACATGTGCCTTGGATTGCGTTGGAATCAAGGTCTGTACGCAGCTTTAGGGGGACGGTTCAGTGGCGTAACCAAAGGGAGGGCACGGCGAGGGCGGTCCGCACCGGGTGTCACCTTTTTTGGGGTGACACCGTCCCGGTGACTCAACTTTTTCAGAGTTGAACTCCAGACAAGATCGAAATCTCTTGAAGACCTAGCTTCATTGTTTGAGATCGTACAAACAAGTACTTTGCTTTTGGCCAGTACTGAAGAACTGAAGTTAGTGACATCCAAGTTCACTGATTTTTATGATGAGGTCTCAGAAACAATTACTGTTTTAGATACCAAGACTGCGAAGACACGTAAAAGCCGCTTATGTTACAGTTTCTGATTGGGTATTTCTAGATATCTCAAAGGCTACAAACTCCAAAACTCAACGAGACTCAAGATATAGACCGTTTAAGATAGTATAATGGGGTATCGGCCCTAATCAGCCTAGAAGAGTACTTTTCAGTTAATACGACTTAATTTGTGTAATGTCATGTTTCTCAGCATTCTCAACAAATGTCTCACAGGGCACAAAACCTGAATCGACCACTGTGAATGCACACATCTGCTATTAATTGGAACTGTTAAAGCATTATGTGTAGTTTATTCAATGGCAAGTAGACCACATCTACTTTACAGCCAGAATCGTCAGCCATCTAGCGGTCACGTAAACTGATATCTTTAATAGTTCCAACTAATACCAGCTATGCACTCCCGCAGTGGTCGGTTCTGGTGATGGCGTTTCGCGCTGTCTTATTTTAATAAGCAATAAGTTGGACGGCCCAGTTTAAAATTAATTTTGCCTTACCTGAATGAGTTACATCCTACAGTGTATCTTCGTACAACCCAAATATTTCAGATATGGCACTTACAAGTAGAATGTGCAGTTCTTTTAATAAATTCTGCAGGGGCTGTGATATTGTGATGATCTCAATGTAATTCTGACCAGTCTCAGAGATAATTATACTGTGTTGGGCCATTAAGGTGTGCATTGCAAGGTGATTCTTAATTTGTCCTGTAATTGGTAGTCATCCGTTTTCCTTATTTGCATTTTATTTATTTCTAAATTCTCTATTGTATTTTGTCTCTATTTTTTGTATAAACTTTGGGTGTTATAACACATATACAGGGTGTTCAATTGAAAACTTCCCACCACGGATTTATCGAAAACCACTGATTAAAAGAAAAAACGACGAGACACGTCAAAAGATTTGTCAAGGGGGACAACTTTTTAACCAAAAACTGCCTCACCCTCTTTCACCCAGGGTCAAAATAAAGTACTTTGAAAGACCTTTCGAACAAGCTATTACTCAATACCCCTTGTCATTTAAAATTTTTAGGGAATGACCCTGGGGGGCTAAAGGTGAAGTAGTTTTTAGTTAGAAAGTTGTCCCCCTTGACAAATCTTTTGACGTGTCTAGGCGTTTTTTCTTTTAGTCAGTGGTTTTCGATAAATCCGTGGTGGGAAGTTTACAAATGAACACCCTGTATGGCCGATGTCTTTGCTACATTAATTCTAATTGGATTGTTCCTGAGACAATTATTAGTATTATTATTATTACTATTTTGGTAGCAGTCCAAGCTATCGAAAAACCTTTTTCTTTGAATTATTGGAGTTGTTAGGATATCCTCCAAGGGGGGAGTGTGATGAGGTTTAGGTTATACAAAAATCAATGAAAAACTCTTTTATATTTTTTTATTCAAAGTTTATATAAAAAACTATCAACAAATGGGAACAATGTGAATGATGAATGACTCTTAGAGGTATACTAGCTACAAATAACTGGAAGTAATGGAACAACATGAGTTACAAGCACAAGGTGGTATTTTAAGACAAATGTACATCACAATATACCTCTACAAATACTTCTTCAATGATTTTTCTTAGAAGGCCTAGCCAGCTTCTCATATTTACTCTTACTACTGTACCACAAGGCAAGTGGGATAGCCAATGATGGAGTTGTCATCAAAGTAAAAGCTAGCCAATCCCAGTAGTGTGATGAGAATTTCTTGTCATAATCACGGAAGGCAATGATACCACCCTCACCAGGTTCACTGCTAAGAGATACTTGTACCTGAAAATAATAAAAATGATGTCTCTAAAGCTTATATGAGGCGGTTTTGCAGTCTAAAGGCGCAATTCCACTGAGGCAACTTTCGGGCAACATGTAGCATATGGCATTGACGCATGCGGCACACTGTCTTTCCATAAAGGCAACACAAAGCGACAAAAAAATGTGTCCTTGCCGCATGCCACAATTTGACCGTTGTTGCCTCTCGAGGGCGCCGTCAGCGACATGAATCCACGTGTTGATCAGTGTTGCCGGCTATCCAAACCCGTTCGGATCGGTGCGACAAAATGGAGTGGACCAATGAAGAAACGTTATCTTTAATTGAAGATTACCATAATTCGGATGAATTATGGAATAAAAAATCGGAAAGATATAAACATGCACGACTAAAGCAGGATAAATTACAGGAGGTAAAAATAGTTGGTGACTACGGCCTCTTGCTAGCGTACAGTACCTTCTGTCTTTAAGATGTATATGATTGTTTGCTTCTTGTCCAGCTGTCTCGTAGACGAGCAGACCTATACCGCACTGACGAGGGCTAATGAGCCCGAAACAGTACTGGCTGCGGTTGGTTGTGGTTTCAGGGGACAAGAAGGAAACATCTTCTCATTTTCTTTCCATAGGAAATAGGAAAATTCAACTGTTCGGTATTGGAAATTGTTTGGTTCAGATATCCAAAACAGATACATAAGCGATATAACTATCACCTGTAGCCAAGTATCTTAATGTCACTAGCAATCTCACGCGGGACGTTATTGCTTCCCGGAAGTTGGTATCACATTTTTTTATCATAGGTAAGATTTTTTCAAGTAAGTAGTGAAAATCGTCTTTACTCATCCGTGTGAAATTTTGGAATAAAGCATCATCCTCAACCACCAAGTTGTTTTACAAATTGTACTGAATTTCATGACCATCTACATATATATTTCTTCTCCAATATTCTGGCGTTTTTCTTTTCCGATCTGAAGAAATTACTAAATAAGCAGCCGCCGCGACTGTCTGCAATGACATGACGTACTAAACTGGAGTTGCTTGAACTGAATCTTGAAGACGCTACTACACTCATGTAAGACAAAGTGCATGCCACATAGGGGAACAAAATCTGCATGCGGCATTAATAGAATGTCAAACATCAAAAGAAGCAACACTAGGAAACAGTAGCATGCCACATGTCATTCATCGTTGCCTTAGTGGAATTGCACCTTAACAGCTGAGTTTTTGATTGTCTTCTATGATATCCATCCTTTGATTTGGTATGGTACATATTTAATCCTTTTTGTGGGGATTCATCAAGGATATAGCCTAGGCAAATGCATTCACAACTAATAAGCTCAAGTAAAACATTTCTCAAGTTATTGGTGAAGTTGAGCTGCAATTGTGCTAGAAAGTTACAAAAAATTTTAGTCATCCACAAAATCAGCTGATGGGGCACATTTGAAGAATATGATTTATAATACATAGGTCCCATACATCTACATTCTGATAATATGATCAGGCATGACATATTCAAAAATTTATGGTTTTGAAAACAAAATCCCAAGCTGCACTTTATGGTACATAACTAGATATTTCAATGGAGTTTTTAATTGATAATAAGACCCTTATAATAAGCTTAATGTGAGGTATAAATACATTAATCTTACCTTGGCTGAGGCATCATCTGAGGTCTTGTAGGTCACTTCAGCACTAGTAAAGTTGAAATATCCATATCTTGTAGGCCTAACAACTACCACATATGTGACATTCGAATGTGGTGGAATTCTATCAAATTTAGCTGCCAAGTGTCCTCCAACTACCTCAAAGGCGTCAGGATGAAACCCATTGTCCACAAGTTCAACCCCGACAGCTGCTGAGGTTCCTATGTTATACAGAGTATACTTAACTTCTATGTCTTTTGATTCTACTAAATATCTGTTTAGCACTTGTTTGGCGACTAGCAATCGAGGGCCCACGTCTTCTTCTGTCTCACAGGCAACGAAGGCGAAAAAGAAGGCGAATAGGGTTGCAGTCTTTAAGAACATTCTGCAATGAAAAAAACCGGTGTTAAACGGACAAATAATAATTGGGGTAGCGTAAATAACTTATTGGTTTGGTCATACCTGATTGTTTAATTCAGCTCTTGCTTAAAATTGGAATTTATGTTGGACAAAACTTTACCATGTGAGATATGACATGGAAGGAAGTTATGGTAATTCGCTGACATGACATGTAATCAAAAATCGGCCACGAAGCCGCCACGTCCATCGACAGCTGTCATTTTGTTGTTACGCTGTTGTCAGCTAGAGATGTATAGGCAACACCGTTATTCTAATGATGAAGAACACTACTTAATAAGAACATAGTTTATCACGTGACTCATACACCACGCCCCATTTGCGTCATTATTTCAGTTGTGGATTATATCTCTATTATTATAAAAGAATAAATCAATCTATAGTCAAATACCAGAATTGATAACAGTAGCAGAAGTCATCGTGTGCCACTGCTTTGACGCTGTACCTTTTGATTACAACAACGTTTACCGACATTTCACAGAAAAGCGCCGCATTTTCGAAGGACTCCGCGTAATAGCAGTGGCGTACGATGAGTTTCACTACTGTCATCAATTTTGGTATTTTACTATATACGTTACAATCTGTCTACAGCCAATGTTACCTTTTTAAAACGAAGTGGCCCTAATTTCCAAAATCTGGCTCCTTAACCAACCGTATGAAATATGACACAGAAAGAATTTACGGTAATTCGCTGACAAGCAATCAAAAATCGGACACGAATCCGCCGTGTCCATTGACAGCTGTATTACAGGGTAGTCAAGATAAGGATCAGTCTAGGTTAAACTCAGCAATCACACAATCTTACATCAAGCATTTGTTTGCAACGCCTACTTAAATATAATGAAAAAGTAGAAAAAACAAATGTCACGTGATACATCGTTGAAGTCGGAGAAAAAGCTGCTATTAGATACAGTTCAGCAAACACCATCATTATGTAGTGCTTAAATAGTGCCATTAGTTTCTTAACATTTCTCGAAATAAAGTCAGGCAAAAATAAAAACGATTTGGCCAAATTTTAGTTTTTCCCAAATACCTCAGAATGACTAATTTCTCGGTGTATGCAATGTGCACTACTGAAAAAAAATAGCTATACCAAATAGAGCTCTGTACGGAGCGTAGACATTCCGCTGCGCCGACGGTCGCCGAGAGACTGAAGCGTCCGAGTGCTGTACCTCGCTGCGGCGATACGGTACGGCTGTGCAGTACAGTCACGCCCCTTTCCAGCTCCCACTCCGCGCGTCTGTTACCGGTCAACGTAAACATCGAGTCACTTTGGGAGCAGACGGGCGGAGTTGGAGCTGGAAAGGGGTGTGGCTGTACAACCAGGCCATACCGTATCGCCACAGCACTCGCACGCTTCAGGGTCTCGGCAACCGTCGGCGCAAAGCGAGTCGACGTTTACGTTGACCGGTAGCAGACGCGCGGAGTGGGACCTGGAATGGGGCGTGACTGTACTACCCACCCGTACCGTATCACCGCAGCAAGGTACAGCACTCACACGCTTCTGACTCTCGGCAACCGTCGGCGCAGCGGAATGTCTAGGCGTTCAGAGGTCTATTCGGTTTAGCTACTTTTTTCAGTAGTGGTGTTCACTATAGGATTCTCGATTGTCTCTTAGTGGTGCCTTGGTGTTTTGACGTGGGGGTTAAGTGTCTCCAAATTGGAAATTAGGTCTACTTCCAACTCGTCTGAGGGAATCAGGATATCTCTGAAGGATACTCTAGGTGAGCCTTGCATACTCATCTACTTGTGTGTTGTCAATTTATTGTGCGACTAGGAATTTCCTTCATATACCGCTTTTTTTGGACCAAGTTTTACCGCTTTATGAGAAATTCATCTGGCAACACTGGTCATAATCTGTGTCTCAGGCTCATGCAGTGATGCCTTTTTAAAACGAAGTGGCCCTACTTTTCGAAATCTGGCTGCTTCTCCCACTAACGCACCATATTGATGCAACTTATCGGCCACATATTTAACTTTTCGAACCGTGAAGTTAACGTACATTGATTGGCATTTCAAACTAGATTGGGCTTACTAAGCAAGTGTATTCACCATCAACTATGCTGTTGTTTTTTTGTATGTTTTAGATTGAATTTTTTTGATGATATATATTTTTAGGTTCATTAACATTGCATTTTATTTTAAGTCTGAGCTTCCGAAGTGCTTAGCATAAATGAAGAGTTATTGCGATTGTAGTTTGTTTGTAGTGGTTATTTTTTATCCTAAATGTACTAATAAATATAAAAAAACTGCGACTTTAATTGAATTTTATCTATTAGATATCCGGTGCACTCAGAAGTCATGGAACTTCAGTGCTGTAGCGCTTTATGTCAAAAATTACAATTTGATAAATCCCCATAGAAATTTTGTCAAAACTGTCCTTTTTGATATAAGCACTTCAAGACTGTCTGTTAGAGAAAAGTCATATAACAGTCGGACAGCCCTCCTCTGGACAGCATCGAGCATAAATAATGCAGTCGGGATGGCAGCGCCCCAAACATGTGAGCAATACTCAAAACTAGGCCTTGTATAGAATGAGAAGGTCATGCGGAGAAAAGTACTTCTTAGCCCTAAACAAATAGCCTACCTTTTTCCCAGCAGCTGCCGCTATTGACGAGATGTGATCATGCCAGATCAGGTCCTCGGTGATCTGGACTCCGACTAGCCGAAATGAATGACTCTTTGACAGAGCTCGGCCATCCATCGAGACGGGGTGGGCGCTATAACGCTTTTTGTTGGTCAAGGTACAGTACTGTGTTTTGAAAGCTTTTTTTTTTATATATATCGAAACAGCCGCGCAGGCAGAAGCCTAAATGCCGGAACACCGCGGCTGCTATGATGATCCGAAAGAAATTTTGTTAATACGATTTTTGAACTGCCTAAGGTTAGTAGAACTGGGAAAAGCTTCCTCCCGTAGTTTGTTCCACAATCTAGACACAATCGGGACAAAGGAGCGGTCGTATCGGCCAGTTCTGGATGTACGAAGTTTGACACGGTTAGGATGGGACGCCTAAGTCAGGCGGGTCTGCCTGGCAGGCACATCGCGCGGCGGCATCATGGAAGAGAGCTCTGAGGAGCAAAGCCCGTTGGTGTAGCGATAGAAAAGAGCTAGATCGCCGACGGCCCGCCGGTGCGAAAGAGTCCCGAGACTGTCTGTTAGAGAAGAGTCATCGATCAGTCGGACCGCCCTCCTCTGGACAGCATCGAGCATGGACAATGTAGTCGGGGCGGCAGCACCCCAAATGTGTGAGCAATACTCGAGGCTAGGCCTTATCTGGGCCTTGTATAGAGTGAGAAGGTCATGCGGAGAAAAGTACTTCTTAGCCCTAAACAAATAGCCTAGCTTTTTCCCAGCAGCTGCAGCTATTGAAGAGATGTGTTCGTGCCAGATCAGGTCCTCGGTGATCTGGACTCCGACCAGCCGAAATGAATGGCTCTTTGGTAGGACTCGACCGTCCATCGAAACTGTATGAGCGCTAGGACGCCTCTTGTTCGTCAAAGTACAGTACTGTGTTTTGGAAGCATCGAACTGTACAAGATTGTTGCGTCCCCAAGCAGTGATAGCCTCCAGGTCTCTTGTCAGAGAAGAATTCGTCGCTAGTCTTCTTTTTTCCAGCTCAGCGGCAGAGATCGGCTTGTCACTCTGAATTCCTGCATGTAGAGTGCTGTCATCAGCGAAGCTGTGGATTGGGTTGATCGTGCAGGAAAGGAGGTCGTTGATATGTAAGAGAAACAGTGTTGGAGCCAAGACCGATCGCTGGGGAACACCCGCGTTGACGTTGTGGGATGAAGAGGAGAATCCGTCAATTACGACGGATATCTTGCGGCCAGAGATAAAGTCAGCCACCCATCTGCAAAGCTTTTCTGGGAGGCCGTAGGATGGAAGTTTGCTCAAGAGGGCAGCGTGCCACAGCTGATCGAACGCTTTCGTGATGTCAAGAGCAACGACATGAGCCTCACCATGAGACTGGATGAGTTTACTCCACAGTTGCGTGACGTAAGCTAGGAGGTCCCCTGTGGATCGTTGGTGCCGGAAACCGTACTGCCTGTCGCTAATCAAGCTGTGACGTTCGAGGTAGTCCAGAAGCTCGCGATTTATGCACCTCTCCATCACTTTACTTATAACAGAAAGCAGAGCTATAGGCCTGTAGTTGTAAGGGTCGGTTTTAGATCCTTTTTTTGGGATGGGCTGTACATGAGCAAATTTCCAGTTTTCTGGGAAGGTGCCGGATTCATAAGATATCTGGAAGAGACGCGAAAGAACAGGAGCAAGCTCAGCTGCACATCTCTTCAGTACAATGGCAGGAATCAAGTCCGGACCAGAAGCTTTGTTGATGTCGAGCGACAAGAGCACTCGTCTTACGGTCTTATGCCTGAATGTTACCTCCCGCATAGTGTGGGGAACCCTTTGAATTGACGGCACTTGGGCGTTGGTGGGGACGTCCATGGTGGAGTTGGCAGCAAAGATCTTGGCTAGCACTTCCGCCTTGGCCTTTGAGTCAAATACAATAGTTCCATCCTGACACGTAAGTGGTGGAAGGCTACTGTGTGAGAAGTTCTTTTCAATCTGCTTGGCCAGCGTCCAGAAAGACCGACTGCCATTGCGCTGCGACATTACCCTGTGCCTAACTTTTATATCATGCTGGGTTTTGGCATTGCGAACCGCTTCGTTATATTTGTTTCTGGACTCGACGTCAGCTTGTCTGTTCTCTACAGTGGGGTTTTGTAAGTAGGTTCTGTGGGCCTTGATCTTCTGCTGGCGAGCAGTGTCACACGATTTGTTGAACCAGCCGTTGGACCCTGGTTTAGGAACTTTCACTGTGTGAGGGATGTATTCCTCCATTCCGACGTGGATAATTTCGGTTATTGAAGAACAGACAGTCGACGCATCCGCGTCAGTGAAACAGACATCTCTCCAAGGAAAGCTAGAGAAGAAGTCTCTGAGCCCCTCCCAGTCGGCATGTCCGTAATGCCAAGTTTTGCGGCCTGTGCGAGTTTCTGCGGCCACAGCGGCTTCTGACCGAAACCTAACCTCCACAACACCGTGATCTGAGTTACCCAGGGGGGACAGGACGGCAGTGCTGTAAGGGGCAGGATGCGTGGTCAGAAAGAGATCCAGCAGGCTAGTGGCGTGTGACGAGACGCAAGGGAAAAAAGTAGGGCTCGTCACCAGCTGGGTCAGCCCTTGAGTAAGAGCGAACGCTTCGACTGCACGACCTGCTGCATCGGTCTTATTTGAGCCCAACCAAAGCTCATTATGGGCATTGAAATCACCGAGAAGAACTACCTCTGAAGCGGGGTGATTGATGTTCAGGAAGTCGATCTGGACGGCGAGGTATTCGAGTAGGTCATCCCAGTTATGGTTCGAGGGAGAGCGATAAAGGCAGCAAATAAATTTGGGTGATGTTTTGGAGTTGAGGCGAAGCCACAGAATGTCCTTCCGGTCTGATTCCAAAGAGAGATCCCTGGAGCAGGAAAGACTGCTGCGGACAAAAGCCACAACTCCCCCGTTCTTTCTCAGATTGGAGTGCACCTCGTAGTTTGGGAAGTTGAGATGGTTAATCGGTGCAGCCTCTGAGATTTTTGTCTCCGCCAAGAAAAGCACGGCGGGACGATTGGATTGCAGGTAGTGATGAACAGCATCAATGTTGCTGTTGATCCCGCAGATGTTCGAAAAACAAATTTTATCTTCGATGTTGTTCCCTCGAGCCCACCCTCCACCCGGACATTCCGAGAGTGGAGTGAGTTTACGTCCGGAGTTTTTAGTGCTCGAGGGATCCATCATCATTAATTTCTTTGTTTTGGTAGATAACCGACTGCATAGCTTAGGTGTGGAAACATGCGGACATTTATAAGAAAAGCCAGCGGGTGGTACTGCCTCGGTCGACTGGTCCTTGTCTACCACCTTCTTTTTACGTATTAGTGATGTTAAATAGACCTAAAGTGGCCGTTGGTTAAACTGTACAAGATTGTTGCGATGTAAGAGGAACAGTCTCGGAGTCAAGACCGATCACTCGGAAACACCCTCGTTCACGTTGTGAGATGAAGAGGAGAACCCGTCAATTACGACGGATATCTTGCGGCCAGATATAAAGTCAGCCACCCAGCTGCTAAGCTTAAGAGAGCTACAGCCAGAAGACTGGATGAGTTGACTCCACGATTGCGTGACGAAGCTAGGAAGTCCCCTGTAGATCGTTGGTGCCGGAAACCATACTGCCCGTCGCTAATCAAGCTGTGACGTTCGAGGTAGTCCAGAAGCTTGCGATTTATGCACCTCTCCATCACCTTACTTATAACAGAAGGCAGAGCTATAGGCCTGGTAGCTCTAAAGGTAGGTCTTAGATCTTTTTTTGTGATGTGTTGGACATGGGCAAATTTCCAGTTTTCTGGGAAGGTGCCGGATTCATAAGATATCTGCAAGAGACGAGTTAAAACTGGAGCAAGCTTCGCTGCACACCTCTTCAGTACAATGGCAGAAATCAAGTCCGGACCAGAAGCTTTGTTGATGTCGAGCGACAAGAGCACTCGTCTTACGGTCTCATGCCTGAATGTCACCTCTCGCATAGTGAAGGGAACCCTTTGGATTGACGGCACTTGGGCATTGGGGGGGACGTCCAGCAAAGATCTGTGTCTAACTTTTATATCGTGCTGTTTTTTGGCATTGCGAACCGCTTCTTTATATTTGTTTCTGTACTCAACGCCGGCTTGTCTGTTCTCTACAGTGGGGTTTTGTAAGGGTCTGTGTGCCTTGATCTTCTGCTGGCGAGCAGTGTCACACGATTTGTTAAACCAGCCGTTGGACCCTGGTTTAGGCACTTGGGACTGTATGGGGGATGTATTTCTCCATTCCGACGTGGATAATTTAGTTTATGGAATAACAGACATCGGACAGACATTTCTTCAAGGAAAGAAAGAGAAGTCTCTGAGCACCTCCCAGTCGACATGTCCGTAATGCCAAATTTTGCAGCCTGTGCGAGTTTCTGCTGCCACAGCGGGTTCTGACCGAAACCTAACCTCCACAACACCGTGGTGTGAGTTACCCATGGGGACAGGATGCGTGGTCAGAAAGAGATCCAGCAGGCTAATGAGACATGTGACGAGGTGCGAGGGGAAAAAAGTAGGGTTCGTCATCAGCTGGGTCAGCCCTTGAGTGAGAGCGAATGCTTCAACTGCAAGACCTGCTCAATCGGTCTTGTTTGAGCCGAACCAAATTCGGTGTACAAAGTCTAGCCCTTTTTTTACGTAAAATCTAGCCCGGAATTTCCACTGCCTGTGGCAAAACTGTCTACAAGGCCATTCAAAATGTCAAATTTCTTTGCAAGGTAGATAATTAAAAAAGTAAATAGAATAAGTTGTACTTTAATCTGCTTTTAATAGATTCCAGTTGTAACAAAATTATATTTGATCTTACAATGGCATATCTTATCGAATTCTAGTTATACATAAAAGTACGAAAATATGATTCTCAAACTGGAGTAAACAATGATATCAACGCTCCCATGTTTAGGAGCATCTTTAAAGTTAGAACGTTAAGCCTACAACGTTAGCCCATTACAATTGTTTCCGAATTCCATTTTCCATCTGCTAGAAATACAAAATTCCTAATCCTTGACTGACCATATGCTTGGTGAGGTAGAAACCTAGAAAACAGTATTCAAGTTATTTTGTAGCACGCAAAGTTCAATCTCGAGTTCCCACGTTCTTACCAGTTTTGAACTAACGTTCTTATTCGGCTCAGGATCACAGTCTGATTTTCGCTTATTTTTACTAGTAGACAGGGATTCTTGCCCACTATCGTCATCTACCTCAGATTCTGAACTATTTGAGTCAGAACTGGAACTAGAAGAGGAATTGCTGGAGCTATCTGAAGCAACCCCTGAAGGCTGTTCAAGGTTTATTTTTTCTGCTGTTGCTGCCAAGCTAGGTACATGTTTTTTCAATGCTTTCAACCATTTCTTTGACAGCTTTGCTCTTCCTCTAGCTGTCTTGTGCCAAACCTAGAAAATAGTAGTCAGTTAAACCTTCATATGTATATCTTTCCCTGGTGTTTTGAGTTTGGTTATGGTACAGAACTTCTGCAGCAATCCGAAGTCAAAATCTAGGCTGATATTCAGGTTCTTCAAAGCAAAACGTTTCCGAGTCAATCATCAATTATATTATAATTATATCTATAGGATATTATACAGGGTGACTTCGAAGTTGAGTCCTTTATTTTAACAGTGAGTAGATCTGATCAAAAGAAATGTTTTTTCCTTTAACATTTTTGTGGTAAAATTAAAGTAACAAAGTTATAGCCCTTTAGAAGTTTGAGTACCGCCCTGTCTCAATAATAATATTATGTGCTCGTGTTTGGCAACAACGGATATAATCCGCCATCCGCCTTATCGGTTCATCGCATCGGAAACAAAAAAGCGAAAGAATTTGAAACGCTGATCACGATGTTTTTATTCAGTCTGTCAGTCGCTAACGCGTGAGTGAATAGTGGTGTTTGCTGCGTGGCTCAAACGAAATAAAAAATGGCACATGTTTATGCGGATCGGTTTCCCAATCGAGTGCAACCAACCCCTCGTGCCTTTGTTAATGTAGTACAACGGGCTCGTGAATCAGGTGACTTAAGACCTCACAGGGGAGGGCATGCCGGTGCTCCAAGACTTCACGATCAAATACAGGTCCGCACTGAAATACTTGTCGGGAGGATACTTTACAAAACAAGGTAATTTTTTTTTTATCTTTACACACATATTTTGGTTTATCTTCCTTCTACAATCATTATCTGAAAATTAATGACTCAACTTCAAAGTCACCCTGTATATTATATTCATTTGCTTTCGCTGTTTTTGAATATTGTTTGGCTATTTTGATGGATATTGCGTTATGCAATACACAACTTTACACGTTCGCGGTGATTGTGGATGGCACAAACAAAATATCTAAGCAAAGTTATCTTGTTTGTGTGGACGATGGAGCTTCTGAACTCGCGATGCTTACAGGTCACTCAAGGAGTCAGATTAGATTATCTAAGGACATCTTGTGCTTGTGCAGTATTGTCATTCTATTTTATAGTGAATTTTAAAACCTCTTATAATTTGTGTGAGATACCAGATAAAGTAGATATGTAAAAAGGCAAGTTTATTTTTTAACTGTGGAGCTAAAATTCATATATTTTCTTAAAAAGTTGTATTCTGCTAATGTTTGTATAGATGTAATGAATATTGAAAAATGTTTTTATTATACAATTAATTTGTCTAACCTCACTATCGAAATGGTATTTCAAGTTTTATTTAATATAATCATGATATTTCAATTTTTTCATATGTTTTTATAACTCAAGTTTATAGTGCGCATATTTTTTTTTAGTTGGAATATTCAAAATGTATCTGTATTGGAATGAATCCAGATACTCAAAACAGTAGTAATCAAATACTCTTTTCATTTCTATTTGAATTTTGAGTAATTGAATACAATTTAGAATACTGTATTCAGGATCCATATCGAATACAGGATTTCAGTGCTCAACCGAAATCTGTTTGATGCATGCAAGAATCACACTGTAACTCTAAGCCAGCCACATCTCTTAATTGATAATATGTTGGTGAAATTTGGGAAGAGCACAATTGCCAAGATGTGCCAGGCTGATCGAACTTGAAGCATTCAACAGCAACATGAATACATAAATCAATTCTTAATGTGACATACAAACATTTTGAAATGGTATCGCTTTCTAGCTAAAGTACAAGAAGTCCTGATGCCTTTTTTGAGTGAAATTAGATGAATATTAATCTTACCACAGGGAAATTGGTCCTACTGCAAAAATTCTGAGTAACAGCTATTGTTGTGTCTAAATTGAGGACTACATGCCACCAACCCCCAGGTACAAAAACTGTTTCACCAGGTTTTTGCAGTATTTCGACTGGCTTGCAATCAGAAGGCCAGTCTGGCTCTTTAGTTTTCGGGTAGATGAAATTAAACCAAGTTATTGCTTCGTCACATTGTTTACCACCTAGAGGTGCTGTCACTTTCAGCAAATCTTTAGAAGTCTGTGTGGGGAACAGACACCATCTAGAAAGTATTTATTAGATTTGAATCAAAGAAACTCAAAGATAATGTCTTGCTCTCAGACAATTTTTTAGATCTCAGCTTTTAAAAATATGCTGTCAAAGAATTATTTTGATGATTCAAATATGTAAAAAGTAAAGTAAAATATTTTGATGGTTTGATTTCTGAAAAATATCAAAATTTTGGAGATAAAAAAGGTATTACTTAAAAATTACCAGAGTAATATCATTGATTAAAATATTCTACACAAAGAGAGTCAATTATATTATGTATTCTGACATCCAAAAAGGGGTCTGAAAGACACTAGCGCCAACTATAAATAAGTAGCAGAACACAAAAATGAAACAACTTTGAAAATAGATTGTTTGGTTCCGCTACTGTCTCATAGATGGGGCTAGGATCTTCAGTGCTTTTTGGTCCCTCTAATGCCTATTATAATTTAGCATATGTTAACCACTGTCTGAAGATATCCAATTAAAATAATCATTAGAGGCCAAAAGGGATTAAATATTCTAGTGCCATCTAGCAAAGCGTAACACCCTTCAAAGAGATTTCAAAATTCATTTTTGTGGTCATTCACGCAAAAATACAGTGTTTGGTTGACTATCTTCAGGTAGAAGACAATAATCAATAGTAATATACCTTTTGTGTCCCACTACTAAAGCATTCCATGCACTAGTCCCTAAAGGATCAATGTGGATTCCAGTTCCAGATCTAGCTGGTCCCATGACAAACCATCTGTATGGAGGCCTTTTGCTTTCACCTGAATATTTTAATAAGTCGTCATGAAAATATGGAGGAACCTCATAGTCTTCCAACAGCTTTTTTCTGCGACGGTGCTATGGACAAGAAACTATATTAATATCTCGCTTTCATTATATATAAGGGTGTATTACTTTCAGAAAATTCAATATTAACAGAAAAAAAAAATGAAATAAAATTGCAGAATGAGATGTTGGTTTTTGAAGAACAATTTAGCTATGTTAATGAAAACTTCATAGAAACTTACCTCACCAAAGTTGCTATCAAATATGTACAGAGGACTATCATCTTTTGTAGTCAACATATAATGTATATAATACTTCATTTTCAGCTTAACACTATATCCCTCATTATCTTCCCCACATTTGAATTTTTGGTTCCTATACTTTTTGGCTAATTTTTCTAACGTCCATTTTTCTTTAGCTTTCCAACGTTCTTGGCATCCAGTTATCACAACGGGTTTATAAGGGTGTTCATAGTATGTGATAAAATCCTGTGGAGAACAACTTGTCACGGAGATCCTTTCACAGTTGTCTGTGAATTGTTTGAATTTTTCGAAGTGACTTGCGTAACCCTGTTGCCTCCAAGCACCTTTTGTGTTCAGTTCTGGGTAAAAACATTAGAAATTGTGATTACCGGTGAAATCGTAATATGTGAGAAAACGCACGTACCTGGTCGAGCCTTCTTCTTGACCTCCCTAATTCTTTTCCGGGCTCGGTGGCCAAATTCTGCTTCGTCCATCATTTTGGATACTTGAATACTTTTTTAATCACAGATCTTTGAAAATCACAATTACAAATTTACATTTCTCAAATAAGAACTTGGCTTAGGGTTAGGTTAGGGTCCTTATCCTGGAGATTGGTTTTTCAAATGTTTCACTGACACAGAACATGGCAAGATGAGAAAGAAGGCACGGAAAAGGTTGTCAAACTCTTTCTTGACATATGACATTGGTCGATAACAATAGTAGGGATGAACGTCTGATTATATATTATATGTTTTTATGATTGCAACACAGGAAACAAACTACTGTCTGAATCAAATTATTATTACCTTTATGACTCTCTTAAGCTGTAAAGTATTGTTCACGAATATCTATTACGTAAACAGATTATCTAGTAATATTTCAAAATTTCCCATATCGATACGTGACACAATTCTGACAGATCTGTCAACGTTAGATCTGTAGACAGGGTCGTATTTAGTTGTGGTCTTTTGTACGCTACGTTTTCATACTCCCCAACAATGCTTTTATTCAGAAAAGTCACTTTGCACACAAGAAAAAACGCTACAAGCAAAATGGCTGCTAATTATCATGACTATATTTTATGTCAGGTAGGAATAAGACAATAGAGAGATATTGCATATGGACCTAAATAAGGGTATGCATTATTTAGGTGAACCTAAATAAGTACAGTGGAATTAGAGATATTGCACATGTAACGTATTTTGACAGTTCGCTTTGATGGTGTTTATCTTAACCTCACTTTTCCTTCCAGTTTTTGCTTGCATAATATAGGTGGTTCGTAGTTGAAATTCTACCAAAGGTGTGAGAAGTGAGATTGTAAAATGGAAGCTGAATTGGAAGCAGTTATATTGGCAGGAGCAGATGAGGAGGAAATAGAACATATCATCCTCCATAATATATTTATTGATAGAGGCATTACTCATACAGCACAATTCAACTTGGAAAACTTGCCAGATGAAGTAATAAGACTAAATTTTCGATTTGAGAGGTCTGACCTTCATAGGCTGATGGCTGTTTTACGAATACCTTCAGAAATTGTCACTATCACACGTAATAAAGTGGATGGTATGATTTTGTTTAAATATTTATTGCTATATGTTCATCATTTCAATCGAACTCCATCCTCTGACTCAAACAACACTTGCCAGAGGCTGGAATTCTATCAACATGAAAACCACAGTATAAGTTCCATTTATCTTCTTTCAGGTTTAACAGCATTGTGCATTCTACTAAGACGGCTGGCATATCCAAACAGATTGTGTGATATGGTCCCTATGTTCCACTTGTCAACTCAGTCTTTGTCACAAATCATAAATAAATTGATAAGTGTGATTATGGAGGAGCATGCTGTACTTCTCAACAATTTGAATTCATTGCAGTGGTTTAATAGGGAGAAGTTGGAGTATTATGCACAGGTATTGTATTGTGTAATATAGTTGAAGTGATGGTTGGTTCATAAAATGCTGAAATGTGCTTTTTGTAGGCTATTCATAATAAAGGAGCACCTATGAATAATTGTTGGGGTTTCATCGATGGTACAGCAAGGAAAATTTGTCGACCCTCTGAAAATCAAGAAGAGTATTATTCAGGACACAAAAGGTATCACTGCATAAAATTCCAATCAATAATTTGTCCTGATGGAATTATTGTTAGTTTGAAAGGCGCATATCCGGGAAGAAGGCATGATGCCAGAATATTTAGGGAGTCAGGTATCTCTGAAGAATTAGTGCAAAAGACATGTTTTGACACAAGACGATTTGTTTTATTTGGTGATCAAGGATATGGGCTGAGTGATGTGCTATTTACCCCATTTCATGGCAGAATGGAAGATTTACCTGCCCATCAGCAGAGTTTCAATTCTGCTATGAAAGTTCTAAGGATAGCAGTAGAATGGGGTTTTCAGAAAGTCATATCAGAATTTGCCTTTGTAGATTTTTCAAAAAACCAAAAAATGCTACTTCAAGACGTTGATGCTTTATACAAGGTGGCTGTACTACTTACTAACTGCCATACATGCCTGTATAGTAGTCAGACTGCTATGTATTTCAATACAAATCCACCTTCACTTGAGACCTACATAGGCCACTGATAAATAGAGGACATTTTGGGTTTGAAATACTCGTTTGCTTTCCATCGCCGCAGCCAAGACCAACCGCAGACAGCGCTGTTTCGGGCTCTTTAGCCCTCATCAGTATGGTATAGGTCTGTATCAGGTCCAGCCGTGAAGGCGGACAAATGGAAAGTAAACAAGCGAATGTGGTCTATCAAATAGCGGGAAGACGGTAAATGTAAAAGATGGCTCGCGCCATCTAAATTTCGCTAGAACTAGTTTCTTTGCAATGGAAAGCAAACGAGTATATCAGACTATATTATTGCATGTTCTGCAGAAAATGCTATTGTTAGTTTGTCCTGTGAACGCCTTGCGTTACGACTCTGGTGGCCGGCTACTGTTGGTTGGTACCGGGGTATCTGTACTCTGTACAATTCATCTGAGTCAGCGACCAGAAATCGTAAGGGGTTTCTGCTTTGCCTGCGTCGTCATTGACGAAACTTGCAAAGAAACTATCTCTAGCGCAAATTTAGATGGCGCTAGCCATCTTTTACATCTAAATTTTGGGTTGTTTCTAACTTGTAACGCTTGATGATAATTTGTAATTTTTTATAGACTTGTAAGACCAATAAAGCTTGTTTGGAATGTATGTTTATTTATTTTACAACCATAAGGGCAGCAAGCACCCAATAAGAGATTTCAAAACTAAATTAGTATGTTGCTGAAAATATATGAAATCAACTTCTTCAGGAGTTGTGGATGAAATATGTTTGATCCTGAAGTTACACAGTTTTACTATGTTCATACATGGAACCAGTTGCAGAATCAATTTCATATATTTTCGGCAACAAACTTGGTTTGTGCTCACCATCCTTAGCATCAACATTATTATTTCAATATAAGGCCAGTATATTATTTTTTTAATGGCAAATTATCTATTATCAAGTTTTGTCAGTAATGCTTCAATAAGCTTTTGTTGTGTTTTGATGAGGTCACTCAAGTTTTTTCTTTCAGCGACATCTTGCTCAGATTTCTTTTGTTCTAACTCTATCCTATGTTTTTTTTCTTGAATTTCTGCCTCAAGCCTTTTAGACTCCAAGGCAAGTCTTGCTTTGTCATTTGCAATTTTTTCTTTTTCATTATCCATTTTTTGTTCTTCTAACTTGAGTTCTGCAGATCTTATTTCTCGTGATATTTCCGCTTTTTCTCGTAGGTAATCAAGGCCATTTTTTCTCAATGTTTTACTTTTGTTCATCCTTTTGGTACGGGGGGCTGTAATGATCGAAAAGTAAGTAACAGCAACAATAAACAAATGTATTTAATCTTGAACATGAAATGTAAGAGGTAGTTTTGAGCTTTCTGTTTTATAGGTAATGTATAACATACTAGAAACTACTTAATCTAGTAGTAGCCCTCTGAATGGGATGCCATGGCAATGCTATATACGCTGTAGTCATCTGGATCCACTATTTGGTTAGTCTGGCCTGTAAATAAAACCGCAGTGCTAAACAAAAGAAGTTCACTGACAGGTTAGTCATTGCACTGGCTTTTATCAAAGTATATAACATAAGTACCTACACATTTTATATCGAGCACTGGTTTTATTTACTGGTCATACTCCATAACCTGTGGATCTGTTTTAGTGTTTCTATTACTGAAGATTCAAGCAGTAATTCTAATCATTGTTTTACCTGATATCTGTTTTGCAGTTCCAACATCTTGTACAGATATCTGTTTTGCAGTTCCAACATCTTGTACAGATATCTGTTTTGCAGTTCCAACATCTTGTACAGATATCTGTTTTGCAGTTCCAACATCTTGTACAGATATCTGTTTTGCAGTTCCAACATCTTGTACAGACTTATTATTATTTTCTGTGTCAACGTCGACTGTAACACAAACACCTAAAACTGTGATAATATAGTAATATGTATAAAAAATGTTTAGAATAGTTATTTTACCGTAATCATGGTCGATTAAAGTGTCATCCACATCAGAAAAGGCCAGCAGTGCCATAGCCTCTCTTTCATTGCGTGTCTTTTCAATCATATCTTTCGCTTTGTTTTCCACTTTTTTCTTTTTTGCTGGTGTAGTTGAGCAGGTCTCTTTCATTAACTCGCTGGCTTCTTGGAGCATATGTTCTCTTTCATTATAGACTTCTTCTATGCCAGACCTGTCAAACACAAATGTTGTTTCACCAAGTCTTACATTAAGCATTCTCTTGTTATTAAAATACATGTAGGTACAGTGTGCTATCTTATACTTACTTGACTTTGCTGTTAACCTCCTTTTTGAGGAACAGCTCCAGAAGATGGTTCAGATGCTTTTTTATTGTTCTCAAAATAAATTCTTTTCCCGTAAGCTCTCGCAAGTTCTGTAAGATTGAGTCCCACTTCTCAGGAGAACGGATAGGGTTTTGTGCAATAAATTCACGCAGCAAAATCATTTCGTCGTCATACGTGAACCTTATTCTCTTTTTATCCATATTCATAGTTACCAAAACGCTTCAGCAATCGTTGAATTTTGAGAGTACAAATTTATAGGTTAAATAGGCTTGCGACGACACCCGATTTGCTTAGATCGTGAATCGTCGTGACATAAGAACGCCTAAATAAGCTCCCCCTATTATAGCTTAAATAAGGACGTGCCTTATCCCTATTAATTCCTCATAGATACAGAATTGTATGTGCGCATGCGTAGATGTCAAAATAAGGTCTGCACTAATAAGGCAGATGTTTGCAATATCTCCCTAATATATACACAGTTTTGACAGTTCTGAATACGGTCCTGAGTTTCTGGTCGCCAACACTACACACTTTAATACAAGGATTCCACGTGGTAATCAGCTATCAAAACTGGTGGTGTTGAGTCTCGCTACTTTCGAATATTCGTTACTAATCGTTAATCTTCTACAAAGTAATCTTTTATTGTATTCATTACTTTGATCACTATGAGTAGTATGAGTATAACGATTTGGCAACGTGCATCGTGTAATTAATGTCGAATTAGAACAACGTCAATCAAGGACCGATTAAGGATTTCGTCTAGGGTGGGGGGCGCAAACGCCGCAAACGATATTTTTCAACCTCAGTGGAACTTGTAGAATTTATCCTATTATTGTTCCTTAAATCCATTGTGTTCTATTTGGTCAAGGTCAGCTTGAAACAAAACATGGAAATTGCTCAGAAATCCTCGGAAAGCCGATATTTTATTATACGAGAACAAAATAAGTACGTGGCATTTATAATTAACTAGTGTAATAATATTAAAGATTCAAACATAAAAAACTTCATTGCTCTGTTAACCGACAAAAAATAAATAAAACATTCTGAGGTACCCTGAGACATATCCCAGTCCATTCCACACAAATGTCTTTGATTGCGAAATCGAAGATGAGACATGGGGGGGGGGGGTGCTTGATCGTGTCAGTATTTACATGGATTACTTGATTTGTTTAACGGGTAGTTCAGAGTATCAATCCTTAAGCTTAGTACACACTAGTAGACCCCTTGCGCAATTTGTCTATAGGCAGTCTGGAGACGGATACAATTTATAAATGGTCTATAGAAATCCTTCTTTGTCTCGTCTAGCGTCCATACGAAATTTGAATTTTTCGGTTTCATGTTCGTTTTCGCCATCAAAGACATTGTTTTGTGTGGAATGGCTGGTATATGTCTCGGGGTCCCTCAAAATGTCTTTTTTGGTTAACGGAGCAATGGAGTTGTTTATGTTTTAATCTTTGATATTAATACACTAGTTAATTATAAATGCCACGTAATTCTTTTGTTATCAAATAATAAAATATTGCCTTTCTGAGGATTTCTGAGCACTTTCCATATTTTTTCAAGTTGGCATTGAACAGATAGAGCACAATGGATTTAAGGAGCAATAATAGGATAAAGTCTAGATGTAGAAAAATTACCAGTCCCAAATATCGTTTGCGCCCCCCCCCTAGACGAAATCCTGAATCCGCCCTTGAGTCCACCCTCCACCCGGACATTCTGAGAGTGGATTGAGCTTACATCCGGAATTCTTAGTACTCGAGCGATCCATCATCATTAATTTATTTGTTTTGGAAGATAACCGACTGGATAGCTTAGGTGTGGAAACATGCGGACATTTATAAGATACCCTTGGAAAAGCTATAGGGTGGTACCGCCTCGGTCGACTGGTCCTTGTCTACCACCTTCTTTTTGCGTGTTAATGATATTAAATAGACTTAAAGTGGCCCTTTGGCGGACTTGTACCGCCACCCGGGGAAGAAGTTGTATGCTGGATACAACAACCTCCAATGTTTCACTGACACAGAACATGGCAAGATGAGAAAGAAGGCACGGAAAAGGTTGTCAAAGTCTTTCTTGACATATGACATTGGTCGATAACAATAGTAGGGATGAACGTCTGATTATATATTATATGTTTTTATGATTGCAACACAGGAAACAAACTACTGTCTGAATCAAATTATTATTACCTTTATGACTCTCTTAAGCTGTAAAGTATTGTTCACGAATATCTATTACGTAAACAGATTATCTAGTAATATTTCAAAATTTCCCATATCGATACGTGACACAATTCTGACAGATCTGTCAACGTTAGATCTGTAGACAGGGTCGTATTTAGTTGTGGTCTTTTGTACGCTACGTTTTCATACTCCCCAACAATGCTTTTATTCAGAAAAGTCACTTTGCACACAAGAAAAAACGCTACAAGCAAAATGGCTGCTAATTATCATGACTATATTTTATGTCAGGTAGGAATAAGACAATATATACACAGTTTTGACAGTTCTGAATACGGTCCTGAGTTTCTGGTCGCCAACACTACACACTTTAATACAACGATTTCACGTGGTAATCAGCTATCAAAACTGGTGGTGTTGAGTCTCGCTACTTTCGAATATTCGTTACTAATCGTTAATCTTCTACAGAGTAATCTTTTATTGTATTCATTACTTTGATCACTATGAGTAGTATGAGTATAACGATTTGGCAACGTGCATCGTGTAATTAATGTCGAATTAGAACAACGTCAATCAAGGACGGATTAAGGATTTCGTCTAGGGTGGGGGGCGCAAACGCCGCAAACGATATTTTTCAACCTCAGTGGAACTTGTAGAATTTATCCTATTATTGTTCCTTAAATCCATTGTGTTCTATTTGGTCAAGGTCAGCTTGAAACAAAACATGGAAATTGCTCAGAAATCCTCGGAAAGCCGATATTTTATTATACGAGAACAAAATAAGTACGTGGCATTTATAATTAACTAGTGTAATAATATTAAAGATTCAAACATAAAAAACTTCATTGCTCTGTTAACCGACAAAAAATAAATAAAACATTCTGAGGTACCCTGAGACATATCCCAGTCCATTCCACACAAATGTCTTTGATTGCGAAATCGAAGATGAGACATGGGGGGGGGGGTGCTTGATCGTGTCAGTATTTACATGGATTACTTGATTTGTTTAACGGGTAGTTCAGAGTATCCATCCTTAAGCTTAGTACACACTAGTAGACCCCTTGCGCAATTTGTCTATAGGCAGTCTGGAGACGGATACAATTTATAAATGGTCTATAGACATCCTTCTTTGTCTCGTCTAGCGTCCATACGAAATTTGAATTTTTCGGTTTCATGTTCGTTTTCGCCATCAAAGACATTGTTTTGTGTGGAATGGCTGGTATATGTCTCGGGGTCCCTCAAAATGTCTTTTTTGGTTAACGGAGCAATGGAGTTGTTTATGTTTTAATCTTTGATATTAATACACTAGTTAATTATAAATGCCACGTAATTCTTTTGTTCTCAAATAATAAAATATTGCCTTTCTGAGGATTTCTGAGCACTTTCCATATTTTTTCAAGTTGGCATTGAACAGATAGAGCACAATGGATTTAAGGAGCAATAATAGGATAAAGTCTAGATGTAGAAAAATTACCAGTCCCAAATATCGTTTGCGCCCCCCCCCCCTAGACGAAATCCTGAATCCGCCCTTGAGTCCACCCTCCACCCGGACATTCTGAGAGTGGATTGAGCTTACATCCGGAATTCTTAGTACTCGAGCGATCCATCATCATTAATTTATTTGTTTTGGAAGATAACCGACTGGATAGCTTAGGTGTGGAAACATGCGGACATTTATAAGATACCCTTGGAAAAGCTATAGGGTGGTACCGCCTCGGTCGACTGGTCCTTGTCTACCACCTTCTTTTTGCGTGTTAATGATATTAAATAGACTTAAAGTGGCCCTTTGGCGGACTTGTACCGCCACCCGGGGAAGAAGTTGTATGCTGGATACAACAACCTCCGGAACAAGCATTTTCCACGGCCCCGCTCAGTAGGGGTTGGGGTTTCTGAAATTCAGTATAGATGTTACAGTTATTTTTCAAACTTTCGTTGTCGAACTTAGATTTACGGCATACTTGTTTTCTCAGTTTTCAAATTGGTGTTGATCACAAGTAGAAATGTTGGAAATCCTTGGAAAAAACTATATATGTTAAATCGTAATTATTTTGATAATCTATGTTTGTACTAAACAAGTACAGGAATACAGGGCTGTACATATTCACGTCTAGTGCAGCAGCTCTGTGATTTAAACGAATTCAATATAGCAACATAAATAGACACATACGCGAGAAGAGATGCGGGATGTGTGGTATTGATTTTGAGCATCGATCGACTCAGTTTCTAGACAGGCCACAGGCGCATCGCTAAACAAATCTCATAAATGTCTATTTCCAATTTAGGCATTCATCTAAGATAGTGCTTCGCTGCAACACCAACCCCGAACAAAATCAGTCAAGCTTTACACACTTTTCTTACTATTGAGCAACAAACAGAACATAAATCACTTTTTAAGTGCAATCGTATAGCTAATATATTACCCAGACTTAGATTTGTCACAAGTCGCAATACTCGTATACAGGGTTATCCATAAGTGTCCACCATTAGTAACTTTGTTATTAGTGAAAATACAAAGTTGTTTGAATTAGCAAACTAGTAGCATTTTTAACGCTGGTAAAAATGAGAAATAAAAAAAAACAATTGAGAGTCGTTATTTTGATTTTTTTCAGTAAAATAACATTTTTTTAAATGGAAACCCCTGTATATTATATTTTTTTCTGTTAAAGCATCAAATTTTAAACAAAAAAGTTCATAATGACTTTTCCGCTAAAGTCAAAAATAAAGTCAAAATAACGATAAATATTTTTAATTATTTGCAGTATTATAATATTAAGACGGCTATGAAAACAACATGGCGTTCGCGATTTGACAGCATTAAGATAAGCGACAAATTGTTAAACTGGACATACTCGCAACTAGAAGGCTTTGGAAAACAATGATAAAATCAAATAATGTCAAACATTAGTGTAAATACTTGTTTATAAGCTTTATTGTGTCATTAATTTAAAGAAAAATGTTCTCCCATGAAGAAAAGTGTGATATGTTAGAATGCTATTTAGTGTGCAGAAAATCCTCCTTGAGAGCAAGAGAATACTACAGTGAATTATATCCCGCTCGCATTCAACCGTATGAACGATATTTTCTGAGACATTATCGAAAATTTAGGGGCAACGAAAATGTTTTTGCTAAAACAAGGGCAAAAAAAGAATTCATAATAAGCGAGGCCACGGAAATTGCAGTTATTGGATATTTTGAAGCTTATCGTGAGAATTCAATAGCAGATATTCTCAAGGACTCTAATTTCAGTTATGGTACTGTTCAAAGGATTTTAAAAAAATACAAATTTATTCCGTATAAGTACCGATCAGTTCAAACGCTTTTGGCAGGGGATCCAGAGAGAAGACTTGTTTTTTGCCATTGGTATCTTAGCTTCTGTCGCCAAAATGTAAATAACTTTCGTTACCTTTTATGGACAGATGAATCAAATTTTTCAAATTCTGGAATGTTTAATAGAAAAAACCACCATTATTGGTCAAGAGAAAATCTTTTGTTAGTACATCCAAGAGGCCCACAAGTCCGTTTCAGTTTCAACGTTTGGTGCGGTATAATTGGTTCAAAAATTGTTGGCCCGTTCTTTTATGAGGGAACCCTAACTGGTGAAAGATATGTGGAATTTATGTCAGAAATTCTGACTAATTTCTTAGACGAATTGGATCTTATAAGTAGACATCATCTGCATTTTCAGCAAGATGGCGCACCTGCCCACAACTCCAGAGGTACTTATCATTTTCTAAGTACTACTTTTAATGATCAGTGGATAGGAACAAATGGCCCAATACAGTGGCCTCCCAGATCACCAGATCTAAACCCACTTGATTACTTCTTGTGGGGTTACTTAAAGAACCAAATTTACAAGCGAAGGTACGATAACCTTGACGCGTTAAAGACTGCAGTTAGGGAAAAGATAACCCAGATAGATGGTAGGACCATACTTAAGACAGTTCGAGCAGTTGAAAAACGTGCCCAAAAATGTATTGAAGAACAAGGTGGTGTTTTCGAGCATCTTCTTTAAAAAAAATTGTTATTGTATTTTGTAAGATTATAAGTTGATGTTGAAAATAAAGTTTGTCGATACAATTTAATTGTTTCAGATTGGAGGCCATAACTTTGTAACCTAGGAGAAAAGTTATTGTAAGCTTTTTTGTTTAAAATTTGATGCTTTAACAGAAAAAAATATAATATACAGGGGTTTCCATTTAAAAAAATGTTATTTTACTGAAAAAAATCAAAATAACGACTCTCAATTGTTTTTTTTTATTTCTCATTTTTACCAGCGTTAAAAATGCTACTAGTTTGCTAATTCAAACAACTTTGTATTTTCACTAATAACAAAGTTACTAATGGTGGACACTTAGTTCATATAGCTATAACTCATAGTTAGTATGCCACTGTCACCATGATGTGACAGAAAGTAACACAATGGTGGTACATTGCAAAAGCAAATGTCAGAAGTCTAGGGGGGCGCGCGCCCCACGCGCCCCCTCTAAATCAGCCAGTAATGTCAATGGAAGAAAATGGACAACCTCAACATTTGCAAAATTTTTCAAGCATAGTTTATTCAAATCTGCAGTATTATCACTCGAAAACGAAAAAAAAACTTTTTTTATTCGCAATGTTCCAAAAAGCCTAAAGACAAAGTGTCCTAGGTGAAGAAAACGAGTTTTTGTCGTTTGTAATTGTTTAAACCTTTTAAACTTTGCAAAGAGTTAACTTCCAACAACCTGATTCATTCAAAAATCGAGTTGGAAAATTTCTCCCACGAATTTCTTTTCGCTTCGTCTATAGGCGCGTACTGACTTGAGCAAATTTGCGCGCCCGAACGCTGTGCGCGCAAATTTGCTCAAGTCAATACCACCCAAAAATGTTGTGTGCGTAAGCGCGTTCCCGCACGAATACTTTCCGTCGCTTGTCGGTACATCAAAGGAAACGTGTGCTCAGTGTGGACGGTGTTTTTGTAGGGACGGTTGTTCGCGCACAGTCTTTTATAAAATATGGAGTGGGAAAATGAAAAGGCGCTCCAATTAATAGATGAATATGAAAAATATCCGATTTTATGGAATGCCAAACATCCAGAGCACTATTCAAGAAACAAAAAAGCAGATGCGTGGGAACGTATTGAGTATAACTTAAAAGTGGAGAGCATGAAGCGAAACAGAAAATGAGTAGTCTTCTAGGGTCATTTCGTAGAGAAAAGGCAAAAGGAACAAAAAGTATTGGGACAGGCAAAGGTCAGTAAATGTCCTGATTCTTTTGAAGGTATTTATAAAAATGCATTTTGAAGGTCGGCAAGATGTGTATGTATCGAAATGGTATGCATTTAAAAGAATGTATTACTTACTTGACAAAGATGAACCAAGAGAAACAATTGATACAGAGACAGAATGCGTAAGTATTTTATTATTTATATAGGATTTTTGTACAGGATCAGTCACTACTGTGTCCTCGGTTTATAATTCGTAAGAAATAAGTCGGAGAACAAGTTCAAAGTGCATTAAAAACGGCAATCAACAATGCTATAAAATATATGGGGTTGCATTTCAAAGAAGGTTGAACAAGAGGTTGAACAGGAACAATAGAAAAATGTTAAGAATGATTAAAGTCCCGAACTATAGTACCTACAATACATGAAAACAGCAATCAAATAAACATCAAACTTTTTACAGGGTAAGCATTAGATAGTGTGGCATCATGAAGGTTGCTTTTGAACTTCACGAACCACTCAAGTATAGATAGGTTGAGGATCTTGGAATTGTTTTCAAGAGATATACCTTCAAAGCTTGCCCTAAGAAGACTAAAACATTTCCACTCAAACTATACTCATTTCTAAACTATTATCCATGAAATAAAGAGTCAATATACTTGATATTTCAAAATATGCAGAAGTATTATTTAAATGGGAGTACTTATGTGAACTCTCGTTGTAGAGAAACCTGTGGATCATAGTAGTATGGTCTACTGTCAATATATTGATGAAGCTTTACGAAATATCTACAGCCAGGTTACAAGCAAAAGCTTCTAAAAATGTTCACGATTTTCATACAGCTTTTGACGAAATTCAGGAACATATTTGAGAAGCTAACATTCTGAGGCCAAAAATTATACTTCTTCACCCTCTTGAAGATGATGCAGGCTGGTACATGCAGAATGAACATCAATTGAATTGATAATTGAAATACTGAAGAGGCATTTTCGTGTGGTTAATCATTTTTGGAGGGATGTCTTGCAAAACACGTGGCTAACGTAGAATCGTCCAGTGTTTCTGAGGGATGAGATATGTGAAAAATTCAGGTTTCATAAGTGTGTCCGGAGATGCTAAGAAACCAGATAAGAAGGTAGTAGTGGTAGTAGTAGTAGTGGTGGTAGTAGTAGTGGTAGTAGTAGTAGTAGCAGTAGCAGTAGTAGTTCTGGTAATACTTAGTGATAGCCCACCTCAAGGATGTAGGTGTCTCGCTAGCCAATAACGATGCCACTGTACACATCAGCGATATAGACCCTACAGTCACCGAGGAGGAGATCGAGGAAGCAATTTACGAGGCAACCCAAGTAGACAGAGCAGCACCAGTGAAGGTGTTGAATATGAGGCCCACCAGAGATGGAAATAGAATTGCAACTGTCAGGTTACCAAAGCATCTGGCGAAAGTCCTAAGCAACAGAGGCAAGCTGATGATAGGCTGGGTGGCATGCAGAGTCCGTGAGAGAATAGCTGTAAACAGATGTTACAGATGCTTGGAATTCGGACATACACAAAATGGATGCACAGGCAGGGATAGATCGGGAGAATGTCTGAGCTGCGGAAAAATGGGTCATAAAGCGAAAGACTGCCAAACGGACCCTTTTTGTTCTTCCTGTCAAGAAGCCGGTCACCGCTCCGACTCAACCAGATGTCCTAAGTATAGGAGGATGGTGGAGGATAAAGCAAAGAGGAGAGGCAGCTTCCGCAAGTAAAGTAAAGAAAAAAAAAATGCCACGGACTGTCGAAGGTAATGCTACAAACAGGTTTAAACGAAATCTACGGAAAAGCCTGAGAATACTGCAAACGAACTTAGGCAGAGAAACAGCAGCCCACGATATAGCCTTTGCCACGGTAGCCGAGTATAACATAGACCTACTGATAGTGGGGGAACCCAATAAGACCATCATAAAAGCTCAAAAATGGATCAGCGACAAAAGAGGGGACGTAGCAGTGTACTTTAGAAATAGGGAAGTGACCGTTAAAGATATAAAGTACTACGACGGTTTTTTGGGCCTACACCTCGAGTTTTGCACCTTATACTGTTGCTACATATCTCCAAACATTCCGATAAATGAGTTTCAGGATCTGGTTGACAAGATAATATCTGAAATTGTCACATCAAGAAGGGAATGCGTGCTCTTGCGAGACATAAACGCAAAGAGCGTCGAGTGGGGGTCTCCATTCACAGATAGTAGAGGAACGTACTTTTCTGAATGCCTTGCTGCTGCAAACATGGTTGTGCATAACACCGGAGATAACCCCACTTTTGTTAGAGGTAGCACAGAATCCTATATAGATGTCACATGTTCGACACAGAAGATCGCAGCAAACATGAAGAAATGGAGCGTCCTCGATGAGGATAGCATGACGGACCACAAGTATATATACTTTGAGGTAGATAAGCAGCTAAGCAGTAAAAGAGCTCAATCCTGGGGCTCGACCAAGACTTGTAACTGGGAAGTCTTTAGACAGGTACTCTCGTCCAAGCTAGTAGAATACCCAGAAAAGCCACATACAGAGGAAAACTTTACTGCCACCATTAAAGAAGCTTACCATGCTAGCCTCACAACTAATAACAATCATAGCGGAATGCCCTACTGGTGGAGCAACGATATCTCTCAACAGAGACAGAAGTGTCACAAGGCACGTAGAACCATCATGAGGCTCGTCAAACACAGGCACAGACATCCGGAAGCGATCATCGAAGAAGCTAGCTCCTTGTATAAAAGCCACAAAAAAATGCTTCAGCAAATGATCAAAGAGTCCAAGAAAAAACACTGGAACGAACTTTGTGACAACATTAACGAGGACGTATGGAGAGACGGATATCGGATTGTCATGAAAAAATTCCGATGTTTCGCGCCCTATAGCATGACAAAAGAACGAAAGAAGGAGATAGAAGAAGAACTGTTCCCACCACACGCAGTTAGGAGCTACAGTACAGAAACGGTCAACAACGTAGACATGTTCACGGAAGAGGAATTCGAACAAGCCATAGAAAAACTCAAAATGGGTAGAGCCCCTGGTCTTGATGGTATACCCCCAGAAGCAATTAAAGAGGCTTCGAAACTGTCACCAACCTGGGTATTGGGCTTTTTAAACAACCTTCTCACCACACAGAGCTTTCCGGAATCTTGGAAACGGGCCAAACTCTTACTGATACCGAAAGGAAAAGACAAATACAGACCCATTTGCCTGCTCTTGACAATTAGCAAGCTATATGAGTTATTGATACTTGCTAGGCTATAGAAGGAAATCGATTACAAGGGTGGCCTATCAGAGTTCCAGTATGGTTTCAGAAAAGGTAGAAATACGTTGATGGCAGTGGACGCAGTCCTTAAAACCATTAAGGGCAGCAGGGAAACATGGGGCGTTCTCATCACAGTCGACGTCAAAAACGCTTTCAACTCGCTACCGTGGCAAAACATAATGGAGGAGCTGAAAACAAGGAAAATACCACCATACCTCCGAAATCTCGTAGGTGCCTACCTCAGTGGAAGGTCACTCCAGATAGCCAAAGAAGAGACCTTAGACATAACATCCGGGGTACCGCAGGGCTCAGTCTTGGGCCCTACTCTATGGAATTTGGTCTACGATGGGGTACTGAGGAGTAAATGGCCACATGGAGTAAAAGCCGCTGCGTTCGCGGACGACTTGGCAGTGATAGTGCTAGCGCAGGATGAGCAGGCCCTTATGCATGCGGCAAATTTAGCCCTGAGGATAGTGGACAACTGGATGACGGCCCATCACCTCGAACTCGCACCGGAGAAGACAGAAGCTGTCATCATAAAGGGGAAGCGGAGAAAAGCAGGTATTACTTTTAACTGCAGAGGAACTTCCGTAACACCAAAGAAGTCTGTTAAGTACCTAGGAATTCACTTAGAAGAAGGAGGTCACTTTCGGGAGCATATTCGGGCAACGGCAGCAAAAGCAGACAAAAAAGCAGCATCGTTAGCAAGAATTATGCCAAACATCGGCGGACCTACCAGCAACAAGAGGGAGGTTATAAATAGCGTGGTGCTTTCAACATTACTTTACGGCGCCCCAATCTGGCACGACATTATGAGCACTACTAGATACAGGCAAATGTTCAACGGAGTGCAAAGGAAGATGCTGCTGAGGGTGGCGAGTGCTTACAAGACGGTCTCCACGAAGGCCTTACAGATTATTACAGGGATAGCACCGATCCACTTGCTTGTGGAAGAAAGAGTGAGACTGCACCGCCGGGAAGATGGGAGAACCGCGAGGGCCAGAAGGGAGGAGCGCGAGGTCACCATCAGTAAATGGCAGGACGAGTGGCACTTAACGGAGGACGTGGCTCAGTGGACAAAAAAAATAATACCTGACATCGGGAAGTGGATTGCTTGCAAGCACAGGCGACTGGACTACCACCTAACGCAGGCACTAACGCAGCATGGTACTTTTCGAGTATTCACGAAGAGAATACAGAAATCAGACAGCGATGAATGCATGTACTGTCAAGAAAAAGACACAGTTGCACACACTCTCTTCGAGTGCAACAGATGGGAGCGACAAAGGGCACAAGTCGTTGTTAGTCTAGGACACGCTCTGACGGAGAGTAATCTGACCAGCACCATGATGGCGAACAAACAATCGTGGATACAAATACAAAGATTCATCAGGGAAATACTATCAATTAAAGACAAGGATGAAAGAAGAACGGACAGCCCAAACTCCTAGGACATATACATGGAAATTTTACTGCAGAAACCGCTGAGGAAACGAAGACATGTGTGAGACACAGTCATGCTGGTAGTAAGCGCAGGCGAATCCCAGCATGAGGGTGGGGGAGGGGGTTTTAGCCCAGGTGGCATAACCTGAATGCGGATACTAGATATCCGGTCTCAGGTATCTCTTGGTGATTTCCCCCCAAGAAAAAAAAAAATACTTAGTGATAGAAGGGCTAGTAGATCATTACAGGTATGAGGCAGGCTGTGGCCCCGCGATGGTCTCCAAAGCTATATTTATTATTATACCTTTTCAAATTATATTTGGTATTCACTATGTTCATTTTACTATCGACAGCTGGATAAAACACCTTTATTTGTTGAGAAAATATATTTATAAGCAAAATGGGTTACCACAATTTGTATTTTTACGTATTTCATAGGTCTGTCGTCTATGATTATAGATGCTTTAAAATCGTAGCGCAAGTGTTTTTCTTAATTTTTTTCAGCTTTTAGGTGAGAATGAGAGAATTCCCTGTCATCAGGAATGGTGACAAATTATTGATGATAATGATGTATTATAATTTTGATTTTAGTTTACATTTGGTATCTACTATTTCTATTAGGTATATTTGATGAACATATCTATTTTTAGCTAAATTGTGATTGCACATTTTTATTTTTATGTATTTTACAGAGCTGCTGTTCAAAAACTTTCAGGTTTTTTTTCAGAATCACTGCTCAAATATTTTTATCAAGCTTTGGAGGGAATAGACCCCCAAGTTCAGGAATGGCATACGTTATAGACACTCCCGAGTGTGATAAACGTGAAATGATGAATATTCATGATAATAATTTGTATAGGCAACTGTTCCAAAAAATGTTCTGCCTGGATAAGATAGAGGTTGAATAGGAACAACAGAAACATGTTAAGGATGGTTAAAGTATGCCGCAATACATGAAAACTGCAGTCCAACGAACATCACATTTTTACAGGGTAAGCATTGGAGAGTATATATCAAGAAGGTTGGTTTTGAACTTGACAAACCACTGACATATAGATAGAACTGTTAAGTATCTTGGGAACGTTCCCAAGAGATGTATTTTCTAAACTTACCCTAAGAACACCAAAAAGTTTTAAATAAATACAGAGTCAACCTACTTGATGTTTCAAAATAAGCAGAGCTGTTATTTAAATGGGAATACTTATGTGAACTCTCTTTTTAGATAAATCTGTGAATAGTAGTATGGTCTACTGTCAATATACTGATGAAGTTTTACAAAATACAGCCAGGTACCGAGCAAAAGCTTCTAAAAATGTTCACGATTTTCATACAACTTTTGAAGAAATTAAGAAGAAATTGAGGGACATATTTGGGAAGCTAACACGATGAGGCAAACAGTTATATGAATATCAATTGAACTGATAATCGAAATAATGAACAGGTATTTTTTTACATAATCATGAACTCATTTATTCTTCATGTTTCACTGACGTCTTACCCGATAGGTCAACCTTATCAGAAAATATAATTTCTTAAACCTATTGCGAAAAGCAGCGGCACCATAAGAGAAAGCTTTCACCAAATTTAACTTTTCTAACAACTTATTAGAAAGATGTCAGTGAACTACGAGGGGCGTTTTTTAAAGGAAGAACCAATCCCGCATACTGGAGCGTGACCGTTTAGTCTCATACACTCTTGGCCAGCCTCTCACTACGCCGCTATAAAACAACTCATTTTCCATCAGTTTGGTTGGAGAAATGCACGTTAAAAAGGGCCATAGAGAATTGTTTCTACTTTCAAACATTTCTTATAATCTCAAAAACTTTGTTCTCATTGAAGATACGCGAAAAAATGGTTAAGGAATTTCAAGAAGACATTGAAAAATCGCAACGCAACACCTCTACACAGTTTACCAAGTAAATACTATCATTTACGGTATGTATTTTGAACTGTTAATTTAGCTTATTACACGGCTAGTTTTCAACCTTATTTTGCAAAAAACAACGTTTTTTATACTTTTACATCCATTTTCGCTAAAAATGATCATTTCCATTGACGTCTTCAATTTTGTTCCAAAAAAAGATAATTTTGGTCTTTATGCGCTAAAGTATATTCTTACCAAAATTCATACTCGCTTATCGCTGCCTTGGGCTATGCTGGTTATGCGGGGTGCCATCTAAAAATCTCAGCATGTTAAGGGACCTTTCACACTATTGTAGTACTACACTGTATAGGAATATGCAAATAAAAAGAAAAAACACAAGTGTCACCTGGAAGATAGATAAATAAAATATATCGTCAAAGTCATTGTAGTGAAGAATGTCACAGTTGTCACGGAAACGTTTACAATAAAGATTTAGTGGTTTCTATTGGCGAGAGAAATATAGGGGATTATCATAAGTAATATCATAAGGGCATCTAATTTTTCCGAAAAAATCGAAAAAACACGTACTAATATTTCAACAACAAACATGAGTGCTGGTAACAAAAATCCGAGTCGAGGACGACAGGAAAAAAAATTGATGCCCGAATGGTATTTGACAAGATCATTTCATGAGTCATAAATATCATATACTCGTACATAGCTTATAAAATTGATTGCCAATAAAATCGGAAAAATTGTTTAGCGTCGTTTCTTGGTGTTTCAGCAGACCATAATTACTTGTTATCAATCAATCATATTGCAATTTTTGGTGACAAATTTTGCCGCGGGTAAATTCGAAAAAAACTGCTGACAGGTGCTGTCATACAATTTTTCCATCTAGAAACCATTTGTAATTCAAAATTGCGCGTTTCTGTTTGGTAGAAATTAAGACGAGGGAAATAGTCAACATGAAAACCACAGGATAAAAGTTTCAGATGCTACAATAACCGAAAACTCGTAACACGTCTTGACTTGTAAATGTTTATGGTGACTGTGCTAAAAATTAAAAAAATGTTCATATTTTAGTTTGTAATACAATTTACATTCATAAATAAAATTTCTCCGACTCGAATACAAAATGGTTCTTACTTAAAAAATGACCCTCGTAGAAACCGTTACTTCAATGCCACTTTTTTTAGGTAAACAACTGTGGCATGCTAGGGGATTATAGATTTTCATTGCACAAATGGACCCAGAACTGTGGAACGACTTGATTTTTCTTCACCGGATACAGTTAATCTAAACAGTGATGGCTGAGGTTTTCTAGGGGTTTCCCTCGCCCAAGTGCGAATGCAGTCACCGAAAACCATATTCCCCTTAATAAATAGCAGAGAAGATGAAAATCATAGTTCTCCTATTGATGATCATGTAATTTAAGATCAAATAGATATTAAATATATTTATAAAGTAAAACTTTGTTCTTTTTTCCATAGAAGAAGTAGGCCAAACATATTTTATCCCCTTAAAGCCCTGTTCGTACAGGTGTCGTCACCTGTCAGTGACCGTTGTTCAGGATCTTGCCACACAAATTCCGCTCATTCTACTACGCTATATAGACTAAATTCACATGACCGGATCCCAGACACAGTCACCGACAGGTCACCGACCACCAGCATCGCCAACCCCATCCGAGAGAATAAATGAGCTTGAAAAAAAAACTGTAGAATATTGTTTAAAAAATTGAAGAAGTCTAAATTAGTTATGATAAAACACGTTACTTACCTATTTAGTTTTTTGGCCACGTATTTTTATAAAAATAAAGATGATTCAGTTGCAAATATGATTTTAATACTTAGCTAGCTTTTATTTATTACCACTTCACAGTCTGCCAAAAATCATTAAGTCCATCAAGTTTAGATTTTCGATAGTTAGGAAAAATAATTTTTCATTCTGACCTACTGTTTATAAGTGCATCCTTTCAAAAATCCTTATTCCACTTTCATTGCATGGGTATTGTACATAACTGAATTTTACGAGATCTTTTAAGTTTAAAATCCAATTATCTCGAAACTATTGTTTTGAGCTTAACGATTTTTGCCAGAACGCCGACGACTTATAGCAATACATTTTTTATTATATAGTGAACATTAAAAAACCCACTTTGTTTATACATTTCATATATCATATCATGAATTGCTGCTTGCTTGAAGTCGATGCAGTTCTTGTGAGGACGGTTTTTCTTTGGGGATTAAGGTACTTTACCAGCTTTGCATTGAGAAGATAAACTATTTACCGTTGACAAACTTATTTTCAATGCATCAGCGATACGCTGTTAAGAAAATACATAGATTAATAAATTACTACCTAATATCCCTCGTTCGGTCTCAAAATATTTCGTCAAAGACGACGAATGATTTCGGCATTTTAGCAAAATGCTTAAAAGAACACGTCAAAGTTATGAAAAAATGTTTTTAAATCTGGAGTTTCCAGGTTTCCACCTGAATGTGGGATGTCTGGCAACCCTGATGCATATGAGCGGCAGTGCTAATGCTACAGTAATGGCAGATGCCAGCGTTGTTACTCAACGATTGTACGAATTAGTGATGTAAAATAATTAAGTAACGCTTACAAAATAATCGTTACAAATGAGTAACTAAATGTAACGAGTCCTACTTTTCGAAAAGACTCGTTACTTTTTATTTGAATTCGTTACTTTGAATGCGATACGGTCTTTTTCTATGTATACTTTTTAATTACTGTTAGTTACTACACTATACATTACTTTAGATACAAACGTTACTGGGATCTAATGTAGCCAGTACTGCCAGCGCCAGCAGTAAGTGACTTGGTTCTTGGATGTAAACTGGGTGGAAATGAAATGATGCGAATATAGCTAGGCTTAGGCAACTTTAGATACTCTTCTATCAAACGAGTTGCGGACTGCGGAGCTTTAGGTTGGCAATGTTTGTGTACATCTGTGCACTTTTCATTTGACTTTGAGAGCTTCCGGTTGGCGGGTTGTTACTGGTTTGGACGTTGCCGTACAAGCTCGAGCAATAATATAATTATTATTTGTACAAAAATATGGAATCATCCGCGTCCGGTTCAGGAGAATCGCAATCTCAAAAAAGAAGTGTTATTTGGATTCACCAATATATCGGAAGCTAATGCAAAGTCTAATCTTTGTAAAAATATTTATTCGCATAAAAATGGAAACATTAGCAATTTAAGGAAGCATTTGAAAATTAAACATCCGACTCTTTCATTGGAAGGAGAAAGGGCAAAACGGCGGGTGGAAGACGAAAATATGCCTAGGTGCAAAAGAAACCTAGTTTCAGGTATGTTTTATTATTATAAGTATTTTGTTGAACACCATTTACAGTGGAGTAACCAGACTGTTAAGTAGGGTAGGGGAGTAACCAGACTGTTAGGGCAGGGGACGCTACTCAACTAAAGTAAAGAGTGAGGAGAGTGGTTCCTCCACGGTCCCCATCTGGTTATGCCACTTGTTAAATACTATTTACAGCGTACAGCCAACGACCAGACGTCACACAACGACGAGTTTAAAATATAAGTACCTTCTACGTATCAAATATCAAAAAATTAATAGGCAAGGCATTAGACAAAAAATAATAATTGGATCAATCCCAAAGTAATAATTTGATATAATATTTAGAATGTAGGTTCTAAACGAAATGTCCAAATAGTAACTAAACTATCGAGTCCAAAGTTCGAAAGTAACGAGTCCTTACAAGTCCTAAAAAGTAACGAAACTTTGCATCACTAGTACGAATACGGAAAGCAGAGTCATCAAAGTAATCATTTCGTGCTCTGATTGATACTCGTTACTTCGTATCTATGAGTAACGAATAGTTACTTTTTCAGTACCTCTAGTCAAAACATAATGGATACTCGTGAAAAATACTTCAAGCTTATCCATAGAAATCAGATATATTTGCCGACTATTGTGAACGCAGCTCTGCCTAATAAGTTCGTCTTCTACTGTTCAATTCAATACTTCAATATGGTTAGGATTTGTATACGCTCATCCCTACAAATCGACTTCAGTACCCTCTCTCCAATATCGTTTCCGACGACTCCTGTGCTGTCAGTTGTGGCTGTCAGTTTGACAAATTGTCAATAAACATCTGTGACATACACATATATCCAATACGTTTGTGTATTTTGGAGATTGAATAAATCAGACATCAAATAGCTCAAACGTATATTGTAGTGCTAAACTTACCATGACTAAGGAAAACTAAATAAGTACATCATTTGGGAGTAGGTAAATGTGTTCAGCTTCCTTCGTATATTACAAGAACTTCAGTTATGGAGCTCTCCCACAGTTTGACATTGAATGAAGAGGCTCTGGCTCAAATCCCAGAGGCCAAGAGACCAGTTTTTATTTTTGAATGGTTGAGATTTCTAGATAAAGTCTTAGGAGCTGCCCAGAAGGTGAGAGATCAAATCATGGTTACACTATTATGAGTCAGCAGCTGATTTGATATCAAAAGTAGAACAACTCCTTATATAGAATCTTTGCCCCATATATGATCCCTTGATATGTTAGAGATATTTGCTCTTAAAATGAATGCTAGACAGTTTTATGACATAGGAATGCACTACATTTCTTTTAGAATGATATAAAAGAATGCCAGAAGCAGTTGGTACAACAATTAATGAATCATGTACAAGAATCTCCAGGGCCCCCTACAAGAAAATTGATTGCCAGATGTCTTGCAATGTTGTTTTCAGTTGGCGATACATTTTTACTTTTTGACACTGTGAATAAGTGCAATGATATATTGAAAAACAAAGATGATTCACCGAGCTTTTTACCTACAAGGCTGTAAGTATTTCATGTCCACTAGATTTCTTCATTATTCAAAGTATTGTTTCTATATTAATAGCAATTTATAGAATTGAGACTTACTATTATTAGGAATCAACTGATACCAATATATACATCAGTAATGGACAAAACTATATAGACTTATATATAAATAAATTCATAACAGACCCGCCTCCATGTTTGACAGTGGGCAAAGTGTACTTGGGATTCAATCTTTGTCTACTAGGATGTCTAACATAATGAACACTATCTGATCCAAACATATTGAACTTGGATTCGTTACTGAAACATACCCTCTTCCAGTCACAAATGCTCCAGTCAAGATGCATCTGTGCAAATTGTAATTGGTCCTTATGGTTTTTCCTCGAGATTAGCGGCTTCTTACTCGGGCGACGTGCAAATAACTTCAAATCATTTAATCTTCTACTTATAGTTTTCGTAGAAACACTGACAATTCCTTTTTTTCGTCTTTTATTTGTCTTGAACAGGATCTTTGGATGAAATTACTTTTATTAATCTAACTGATCTAGCATTTAGTTTTCTAGGCTGACCACTTCTCTTAGAGGCTTCCAAGATACCTTTTTGTTTATATCTGTTCAATATTGCCCAAACTGCTTTATGCTTCAGCTTCAAATTTTTGGCAATGTCGACTTGATGTTGACCATCTTTGTATAACTCAATGATCTTAGTTTTCACATCGAAAGAAATTTCTGGACTTATTCCACAATACTCGATGAACACAAACGAATCCTCTTCTGATGCGGAACTGTACTAAACTAATGTTGAAAAGAAATTGTCTACATACCTTTGTCCCTCATAAAAAAGTGCTTATATTCAGACTTGTATTGTGTTCATTGCAGATAATGTAAAAACAAGGAATCTATTTTTCCTACTAATGCATTTGTTTATGGATCAATGAAGTATGAATTCGTTTTCTAAAGATATTTAGGTAAATATTCATATTTGTCTATATACTTTTGTCCATTACCTTATATATTGTCAATATCAGCTTTTTTTCCATGATTGCCTATATGCCAATTAGGGTTGCCAGATATAGACTTATCATTTTTGGGACAATGCAATGCAAAGGTGGGCTTTAGTAATAAATATATGAAAACAAATAGATATTTTAGGTAGCCCATGACAATATCTAATATGTTTGATTTTTAAAGGAGAAATAAAGATACTTAATTAACATATTATTTGAAGTTACATATATTTTTATAATATTGTGTTGTGAATGGCAGTTGCACTTTGCATCTGTGAGTTATGTGTAGTACTGGCAACTCTAGTGATTTTGTAAAGAAACTTGTCAGTGTTGGGTGGGTCTAGATGCAACATGCTGGGACATTCCTGGATTTCACATCCATCTGGCAAGCCTAATGCCAATATGGCTTGACCAATATAAATTAAATAGCCTTTTATATTATTGAATCAAAAAATACAGTTCATAGAAATACATTTATTTCCTGTAATTTCATTAAACAACAACAAACAAATTTTTGCTAGATATGTTTGAAAAACTATAGTGCTCTTTTCAATCTTAAGTTTTTTGTAAAAGGCTAAAAACATATAAACAAAAACTAAACTAAACATGGAAAATATTATAAAAACGGGAGCTATTAAAAATAATGTGGTTAATAACATTTATAATTTAATATAGGCATATTGTGTAAAGATAATGAAGCTTTTGCTCTGTCAGGAGATAGTCTGTTTGATTTGGCACCATAAATATTGCCTGCCTCAGAAAAACGTGTTTGCTGAGTATACTTTGTAGGTCCATATAGCTGATGTTGGTGACATTTTTCCAACTATTTGATCTATAGTAATAGTAGTAACCACTACATTAGGCGGCGACGCCAGGCAAGTAGACTACCTTTGGTATTTTTTGCCAACCCCCAGTGTACCAACACTCTACTCCACATGTTAGTTGACTAAACTGTCGAACCTTTCTGACGTCCTAATAAAGACCAGACTGTCTGATCATTCTGCTGAGTAAGCAACTTCACCAACAAACTCAATAGCCCCGAATATTTCAGCCCTTAGACCACAATATGTGTATCAATAGCCCAGAAAGTTAACACTGTTGCATTCTCCTTTCAACACATGGGTACTTAGATTTCTTTTCACCCTTAAAAGGGACAAGTGGCTGCAGTGGCCAGTGAGAACCTCCTCCAAAACCTCGACGTTTTTCGGGGCCCACTGTGAATCTCTTGATTTCTGCCGCGTTTTTTCCAGGTCCCTATATACTCATTCATTCAGGGCAGTGTTGACCTGGTGCTTGCATGTGCCCAGCCTAGGTTCGGGACCAATGCAGGTGCTTCTGGTGCCCAGCCTAGCCAGGTGATTAGCTTTCTCGTTTCTCTGTGTCCGGGGACCCAAAGCAGGGTCACTTCTTTAGATCGGACTTAACCTCGAAGGGCAGTAGTACATTCCTGAACTAAGGATGACCTTGCCTTGCCACCATTAAGATGGCAAATATCTCTGCCTGGAAGGTCGCTGTATAGGTTCCAAGGCCAAAGCTTTCCTGCACGCCTGGATCTCGTTTCCTTGGAAAAGGATCCGTCTGTGAAGAACACGAGACACTGAGGCGGGAATGTTATTTCTCCATTCACCCATTTTTCGAAGGGATGACATTCTATGTCTGATCTTATGGTGTTCTTAGCCCTTTCCACTTTTATTATCGAATATATGGGGAGACTGCTCTCCATCACGTCCACTATCTTGGAATGACCAAACACCGATTGTTGTATCACCCCCGTTCCCTCATCCCGCACCCTTAGCTATGCTATATACAGGGTGGCGCATCGGAAACGAAACAGACGCATTAACTGGCAGCTCAGTTTTTTTTTAAAAAACGCTCAGACCCGTCGATTTTGTTTTCGAGGGGGACACAAGTTTGGCAAAAAATCACGTTAACACGTGCAGCCCCCTGGGCGGGGGTGACACCAACCCTAAAATCTTAAATGGAAAGGGGGGTCGAGTGATACCTTATTTTAAAGGTCTTTCAATTCCCTTTATAATGATGTAAAATACATGAGCTTCAGTTCAGTAGTTTTGAAGATTTATTGATTTAAAGCTTAAAGTAGACTTTAATAGGTACATCAGATTAGTTTGTACTACTTTCGGAAGAAATTTGACTAAAAGAATTTACTTAATAAGTAAATGCTTTTCTTCACTACGCCCATGGTTTGTTTATCATTTTGTTGTTGAAAATAGCGTTTTTTTGTGGCAAAAAAGTTATTTCTTGAAGAAAGATAAGGAAATATCTCGTACTTATTTTAAATAGGAATTTAGTACATAGTTTGCGATTGATTTGGCCAAACTTTGTTGCTAAAATAACTTGTAATGCTTTATTACATAAATTAATCCGCCTGTAGTCGCGCCGGGTGTGGCTGACCCATACGCTTCTAAAACCTATCGCTGCGTATATGTGACAGCACTGCCCGATGTCTCCTTCCTACTACCTTCCTATAGTGTGATGAAGATTACATATATATACATTGTTAGTGCCAGCGCAGCCGCAAAGATGAGTGTGTTGTTCCAAGTTTCAAATTTCAGACCCAGCGCGACTGAATATAGATTTCTTGCAGTGTCAAGACTCTTATGGGGAGAAAATAGGTTCTAATTTGTCATTATTCATTAAGTCAATGTTTCTTATCGATCATTATCTTTGACTTCAATGTTTTATCTCACTGTTTTCTTTTTCTGATTGCTTTTATTTGAAATTTTGATGTAAATATATTAAGAGGTATCAATAAACGCATTTTATTTCGTCAATGTTCCATGTTTGGAAGTATGAGTTGATATATTTCAAACAATATACTGGTTCATGCGTTATTCTAAGCAAACGACTTTGTTGTACCAAAGAAAATTGAAAGTTTGCCTGGGTCTGATAGACCCAGCGCGACCAACAGAGTCCAAAACAAGGGCGCGACTACCGGCGGGTTAACCATCGTATATTCCACAGCAGAAAGAGTTGGAATTATAGAAATATTTTTCGGACATAATCAGTGCGCTAATAGAACAGCAGAAATATTTAATGAGCGACATGAGAACAGTAACGTGCATCGAAAATATGTTCTAGAACTTGTAGCCAAATTTCGGGAAACTGGGTCAGTCGCCAATAAAAAACGCAACATTGAAAGTCCCATAAGGAACGAAGTAATAGAAGTGGGGGTTTTAGGGCAAGTTTATGTAGATCCTACGTTAAGTACCCGCAAATTGGAGACTGTGTGTGGTGTTAGTCGACGTACTGTCCAACGGATTCTAAAGGCCATAGTTTTTATCCGTATAAAATTCACCTGGTACAAGAACTTAATTAAGACGATTTTGATGGGTGATTACAATTTTGTGAAGATATGAGTGAACGAATTATAAAAGATGAACATTTTCTAGTCAACACTTAATTTTCCGACGAATGTTCCTTTTTCTTAAATGGCGTAGTAAATCGTCATAACTGCCGATATTGGTCCGATTCTAATCCCTGAATTTATCATGAGGTTCATACACAGCAGCCACAAAAATTAAATGTTTGGGTATTTTTGGCGATCATTTAGTTGGTCCTTTTTTCTTACCTGGAAATTTGACCGGTGAAATGTATTTGGAAGTACTGGAAGACGCCATAGATCTTGCATTAACAGCCATAATTGAAAATCAGAATGATCGGCGGTACATTGCGAATTGGTTGATGTTCCAACAGGATGGTGCCCCACCACTTTACGCATTACGTGTTCGACAATATTTAGATCAGACGTTTCCAGATCGATGGATTGGTAGAAGAGGTGCCATTGAATGGCCCCCAAGATCGCCAGATTTATCACCTTTGGATTTCTTTATGTGGGGTCATTTAAAAAGCAAAATCTATGCTACTCAGCCAACATCATTAGAAGACCTGCGACAAAGATTTGTGAATGAGTGCCTTCAAATTACTCCTCAAATATTGCAAAATGTGCGGCAACGTTTTGAGCAAAATCTTTATTATTGCATGGAGAGTCATGGTGGCCATTTTCAACATTTACTTTGCTGCCAAATGTCTCTCCACTAATGATGATGTATTAGTTTTATTTAAGCTTTAAATCAATAAATCTTCAAAACTACGTAACTGAAGTACATTAATTTTATATCATTATAAAGGGAATTGAAAGACCTTCAAAATAAGGTATCACTCGACCCCCCTTTCCATTTAAGATTTTGGGGGTGGTGTCACCCCCGCTTAGGGGGCTGCACGTGCTAACGTGATGTTTTGCAAAACTTGTGTCCCCCTCGAAAACAAAAAACTGAGCTGCCAGTAAATGCGTCTGTTTCAGCATGAATATCACAACATAAGTTTCAGATGCTACATCTGTATTAGTGGTGAGATAAAATTGTTGGTTGTCGTCTTCTATCATCTCGTTGATCAGGAAATAGGTTTCCTCCCCCCTTGCCGAAAATATGTCTTTTTTCATAGGACACAACCTGCACCGTCAGAGTCCTCAATCTTCTGATCTCAAATTCTATCAAATATGTCAAGACAGCATTACTTTTCCTTATTTTTGACATTTTGTGGAGTGCATGATACATGATAAAACCAAAGAGGTTCAAGCATGGCCCGATTTTACTATTGATCAGAGGGAATCGAAATCGGCGCCTTTGGCAAAAATCGGACATATGCGAAGGCATCTTTGAAGTACTGGATCTAATTTGGTCGACCTCTTGTAAAATGTCTCTCAAACTATAGAAAAATTATACGATTTGTGTGAGACGGGCTCCCAATTCTTATATTAAATCAATAAATACTACATCACATGATTCAGATACAAAAAACTATTTCTCATATGTGTGCGGACACAAAAGTTGACGCAAATTTCACCAATCAAATAGGAGCATTTGTAGCCTACTCGAAACGTGGAACAAACCTGATACAATAGATTGACATGACGCAATTACTGAGCATTTTATTGAAAATAATATCTCACTGTTGCTGTACAAAATTCTGCTTAATAAATTACTTGAAGGTATAAATAAAAGTACACACTGCCCATTCTTTAACAAAGATCGAGTAAATAAGGAATTTACTTTACTACTGTTAACAGAGAGATGGCGCGCCGCACTCTACTGGACGGTAGGAGGACTACGCGACAACACAGGCAAGGCTAAAAGTAGTCGTCTAGTGCCCAGTAGAGGATGCGAGAGCTTCCTGTTAACAGGGCTGGCTTAAGGCACTGAGTTTTTCGTACCGTAGTCAAAAAAAATGAATATTTACTCGATGTTGTTTATTAAAGAACAAGCATTCCGTAATTTTATTATGACATCAAAGAATTTATCAAACATACTTAGTGAAACACTTCGAGTATGGCGTAAATGCTACTTTTTCATTGGTGCATTTTATTACCATGGCCGCTTATTTATAGTGTCCCAACGCAAATAGAAATATAGACTTTTGTAGCTAAACCAAGTGATTTATGAGTATTTACTTGACTAAATATTGGAATTGCATGTCCATCTTACACAAACCGTACAGGGTTTGTCCGGAAAGTAATAGGACTGAGTCGATTTAAAAAAATTTCTTGATCGTTACAATTCTTTAAAAACTTTCAAAATAGGCTCCTTCTGCGTCGATGCAGCGCTGCCAGCGCGATTTGCAACGCGTCACGGAAAGCATTCTCCGGAATAGCCTTGAGAGCCGCGGTGCATGCTGCTTGGATCCCCTCTGTCGTCTCAAAATGCTTGCCTTTCATCGGCCTTTTCAGGCGAGAAAACAAAAAAGTCCGGGGGGGGGCACATCTGGGCTGTAGGGCGGCTGCAAAAGCGTTGGGATGCCGGCCTTGGTCAGGTAGCTGTTCACAAGAAAGGCGGTGTGAGCCGGGGCGTTGTCGTGGTGCAGCTTCCAGTCGGCTGCGATGTCTCGTCGGACCCGACTGACCCTTCCTTTGAGTCTCCTGAGCACTTCCACGTAAAACTTGGCGTTGACGGTTTGTCCAGGAGGAAAAATTCATGGTGGACGATGCCTTTGATGTCAAAAAAGACAATGAGCATCGTTTTCACTTTGGATTTGCTCATTCTTCCTTTTTTTGGGCGAGGAGACGCCGTCGTGTGCCACTCGGAACATTGCCTCTTTGTCTCGGGATCATACTCAAAGATCCACGACTCGTCACCTGTGATTACGTTATTCAAAAATTGGGGGTCACTTTCACACATGTTCAAATTTTCTTGGCACACTTCCACTCGCCCCAATTTCTGGTCGTCAGTGAGGACTTTTGGGACCATCTTCGCGCACACCTTGCGCATGTTCAAATGCTGTGTCACAATGTCATGAACCACAGATTTTGGTAAATTTAACATCTGGGCAATTAAACGAATACTTAGTCGACGGTCTGGACGGACATTATCGGTGTTTGTCGAAGTCGAAGGTCTTCCAGCACGGTCTTCATCAGCGACCTCTTCCCGGCCCTCCAAAAAGGCCTGGTGCCATAGAAACACACCACTTCTTGCTAAAGCAACACCTGGGTAAGCCTTCTTAATCATATCAAACGTCTCTGTCGCAGATTTACCGAGTTTCACAGAATTTAATCGCGTACCTCTGCTCTAACGAACGCTGCATTTTCGGCTTGCACCACTCACAGAAACACGTCGCGCGAAAATGCCTATCCTGACTCTCCAATTGCTCGGAGACAACTGACTAGCCGCTCATTCGTTAGAGCGCACGCTTCGAAGTACAGTCATGGCGGAAGAAAATGGGTCCTATTACTTTCCGGACAAACCCTGTATAGTTCATACCCACGCGTTTTTTTGCGCCCTGCTTAATAAAATCGGGCCTTATAGACGCGTTTGCGGTCCATGTGCTTTCGAACCGAAACATACCCGACTGTGTGCGAAAACAGGCGAAGAGATAGCTTCTGACATATCGGTATCGGCTGATAGACGAACATCCTGTACGTTAGATCTCTAATTATTGATCTCCTTGTCTTTTAGTGCTGCCATATGCTGTGTGGGGACAATGTATGAAAAGCTTGGCAGAATGATGGGGAGATCATATGAAGAAACAGTCCATATCCTGATCAGATCTCTGAGAAATGCTGAATCACAGACAAGAATTGAGATAATGCAAACTTTAGAAAAAGTATGTGCAGGAATGGGTAGTGCTGTAACCAATGTGCACAAGGATATCTATAAAGCTGCGAGACATTGCCTCATTGATAGGTAACTGTTAAATGGTCTAGAAAGGAGCATTCATTTCTTCCTTATGACATCAATAATTTTAACAACTTTGTTATTAGGGTGATGGCAGTTAGATGTGCTGCAGCAAAATGCCTGCTCGAGATGCTCAACCATGCCCAATTCTTATACATGACTGAGCTAGAAAGTCTCGCAACATTGTGCTTCAGAGCTTTTGATGGTTCCAACTATGTTGTGAGGTGCTCTGTTGCCAAGTTACTGGGGACATTAGTTGCAATGAGCCAGCAGAATCAAGTTGTTGGGAAAAGTGGTGAGTCTTGAACTGACCTCAAATTTTGTCTTTGCATGCATGAGAGCTACCAAGTTGATCTACTCGACTTGATTTTTCGATAATTAGTAGTCGACAAAAATATTTTTAGTTTTAGCACAACAACAACAGCAGCAACAACCGCAAAAAGGAATCAAAGTCATATCATTAGATGAGGCACTAGGACTTCTGATGTCCGGTTTTTTGAGAGGAGGAATTGGATTTTTGAAAGGAACAGGAGAAATTATCAAAGGAAGTTCAGGCGTTAATCGGGAAGTTAGAGTTGGTGTGACTCATGTGAGTAACAGCATAGTGAATAAAGGCGTCTGTACTTTATTACCATTTATATTGAATACATTGGTACTGTTTTTTCAGAGTTACGTGATGTTCGTGCAAATACTGGGCAGCAGCTGGTTAGAGAAGAACATTAAACCTTTTTTGACACACGTCTTGTATTTAGCTGCGAATCCCAAAGCTGCTTCATCTCACGTAGATGCGGTTTATTCTAGAAAGTGCATAAACTTCATCCTCAGAAGCGTCTTTGGTAAAATGCTTGGCGAGAAAGCTCAAATATCGGCATGCAAAGAAATGGCTCAGATCATAGTGAGGGAAATGAATTCCATCGATTTTAACCCAGAAAATGCCAAAGACTTCAATCAAGAGACAATATTCAGCCAACATTTGCTTGTTTGTGCTCTTCAAGAAATTGGTAGTCTGATCCTGAGACTAGGAACAACTGCGCATGATCTCATTACAGATCAGTCATTGAGTAAGTGTATTAACTAAATTGATATGCTATACTCCAAGGTTGTTCCAATTATATTTGCCTGTCTATGACCCCTTCATATTTCATACATTGATCTCTATCATAACTTACTTCTTCTTTTCAGACCTAATAGATGTTACTGTAAGCGTACTTGTCCATCCTTGTCAAGCAGCTCGGTTAGCAGCTGCGTGGTGTTTGAGATCCATATGTGTGGCAGTTCCTAGTCAAATATCTCCACTCATAGACCGATGTATAAACGGTATCGAACAATTCCGTATTTCGCCAGAAGCAATATCGGGATACAGTTCGGCTCTAGCAGCCGTCCTAGGAGGCGTAAAATTGTCTCCTTTGGGAGTGCCTCACACGAAAGGAAAGGTTATATTTAACACTGCTGAAGAACTGCTAAGAAGTGCCAGTCAAAATAGCAGACTGTCGCTTAATAGAACACAAGCGGGGTGGCTCCTTATTGGTAAGCAGTATATTAGATGTTAAGATTTGAAAAGGTCTTCCTGTATCTTGATTTTTTTGTAGGTGCCATAATGACCTTGGGGGTGCCAGTAGTAAAAGGATTACTTCCACGAATGCTGTTACTATGGAGAAATTCATTCCCACGTTCATCTAAAGAGCTCGAATCTGAAAAAGCCCGTGGGGATGTATTTACTTGGCAAGTGACTCTAGAAGGTAGGGCAGGGGCTCTACTAGCTATGAACAGTTTCCTTCAAAACTGCCCCGAACTTCTCAATGAAGACACTACTAGAAGAATACTCACGCCTATCGAATCAGCTCTTGCTATGTTAATGAAGTAAGAAACGTTTATGTTATGACTGTTATGCTTAAATATTTTGTTTTACTTCCCACGCCTACTGATCATTTTTGGAAAAAAAATTAGAGCAAAAAAACCCGGTGGTGGGTGGTTGTAACATTAGTAATTCTACGCACCTATTAGACATAATTCGCACATCATAAACTTCTATGAAAACAATGGAAAATATCCTCGGGAGACTGATCTCGTACCTATCGGACGCAGCGGCTAAATATACCACAATTCCGGGCAATATCTTCGCACCTGATGGGAAAACATTCTGATTCGGATTTTTTTTCTTCTATGGACTTCTTACGGTGGCCGATATGTTTCTAATTTTTTATTCAATTGTGAACCTTTGTTTTTGATTGTTAGCCAAGCGCGGGCTCAGCTTATGCGCTGCTTGAGGGCGACAAAGAACAATTAGAAAATAAGGGTTTATAATAAAAATAACTGCTGAAATGTTTCGGAATTTTGTTAGTGGATTTTTCAAGAATATTCATTGGCAACATTGAAGATTTGATTTTTCATATTTTTTTTTATTGAATCGAAAATGACATATTTCTCACTTTTTCAGAATTTGTATCGCTTATATCTCGAAAACTGTCAACTTTAGAGCAAAGTTCTAAAGCACATGTTTTGTGCAGAATATCCCAAAAAACTTGAAAAAAACAAGCGCCAGCAGCCACGTATGCCTAAACATGGGTACCGAGGGGGCTATAGGGGGATACAGGGGAAAGGGGGGGATGTAGCGAGGGAACACGTGTGTAGATCCGCTGGGTGGTACCTCCGCGTACGACACTCTGAGACCGTCTACCACCTACGGTTGTTTGTGTTATCCTGTTAAAGTATATACGGATTGAGCTTGAGCTTCTAACTAATATTAATATGATTAATTTCTCCTCTTTTATCATTATTCAGCTATACACTGTTCAATCTCTTCCAGCATTTCTGGTGTTTTGAAGACCTACGGACAACAACTGAAGGCGCCAGCGGCAATGGTTAGGCTTCGATTATGTGAGACGCTTTTACTCCTACCTCCTAGATGTTATGAAAGTGAGTTTCAAAATCCTTTTTTTTCATTCATTCATTTTATCGGAGTTTCAATCCTTACTAAATTCAATTATTAATTTCAGGCTCGTATACGCATTTGTTAAGGATGCTTGTAGCTGAATTTACGTTGACGGAAAATCCAGCTAATACTACGACCTCTCAGCTGCGATCTATTTGCCATGCTGATGATTCTGTGATCCTAGGAACTTGGTTGCAGGAAACTGATCACAGTACCATCGAAGATCAGGTAAGCCGTGCAGTCAATGTTCATGGTGTACTATGGGAAAAGAAATGTTTTTTAATGTCATTCCTAATTATTGCTTAACGATTTGTCTTAGATGGAACCTAATAGAAGGGCTGATGGAGAACATGTGAGTAGCTTGGAAATGACAAGATAATTTCTCGCAGATTTATGTTGTTGTTTTCTGGTAATTTTTATTTGCTATTACTATTTTTTTTGTATAGCAGAAGCTTGCTCACCATGTTTACCTATGGAACATTTGCATTTTAGCTTATTTTTCCTTAGTACAAACAAAGTGGTCATACAGGGTGCAGCAGCATAACTCCCTTTTTCAAAACTTAATAAAACCTAATGTATGAATCAGAACATTTTTGTTTTTTATAATGTAGGCGAAAGCCTAAAGTTGCTTTGCACAATTTTGAAAATCAAATTTTAGGTGACAGATTCTCCATACACTAAGTAAACTGATTTCTGGCGTTCGTCATGAATCTTGCCAGCATAGCAGGCGTTATGTTGGCAATTTCTTACTGGATGTTGCAGGCTTTTTGGACGGTTCACATAAACACGGGTTTTCAAAAAAACCTGTAGAAAAAAATCACAAGGGGTCATATCAGGTCACTGCAAATCGCCCCTAATTGAGATGGGAGACTGTGGGAAGTATTCCCTCAAAACAGCCATCGATGCTCTTGAAGTGTGGGTCATTGCACCCTCTTGTCGGAGCCTAATGTCTCCTAAGTCCAACTCATCTAGCCCTGTAAAAAATCCTGAACATGTTTACATGTCGGTCCGAAATCACTGTCACTGCGACTTCATTTTCCTCAAAATAATTCCAGTTGAGGAAATTGCGCACCACACTGTGACTCTAGATGAATGCAAAGTCCTTTGGTGCGATTCTCTAGGATTGCTGTCAACCCAGTAGCGTATGTTTTGTTTGTTGACGGATCCATACAAATAAAAATGGGCTTCATCACTAAAAAAGCAATAGCCTCCTCAGGAAGACGCTCACATGCGTTCATCCGAGAATTGAAGTCACGTTCAGAAAATTCCTGCACAATTGCCATCTTGTAAAGATGGAAATGAAGATCATCATGGAGAATTCTCCTCGCAAACCGATGGAAGCGTCCAAGGGCAGACGCATGTTTGCGTGCAGAACGCCGTAGCAATCGCAACATTGAAGCTCTCACTGCCTCAATGATTTTAGGCCGAATGACTCCAGTTCTTCATCTTGTCATACTTGCAGTTTTTCTGAACGTAGTGATGCACGTAATAATTGATTTCCGGACCGGGACAGGGATTATCGGGGCCAAATTAACACTAGAAAGACTGAAACGTAGTATATACCTCTATATTGCCCCAAAGCAGTCAAAATGACTGCATTGTGAAAACATGAATAATGCATAAAGAAATTTGTTCAAAATTAATTTTTAATATTTTTATATTATTTACAGTAATACAACAAGGTATTAGTAAGCATTAATAAAAAAAAATATGCTCGCGGTTCTCCCACTCTGTCAAAGCGTATCGATTACCGCATGTGATCCTACAGTCAGTGATCCTCCTTCCCCCCTGAACTACGTTATAGTGCGTTCAAAGGGAACAGGCCTAGCATAAAGATTCGAATAACAAGTACTACTTTACTTATCGAACAACTGCAACTTAGTTACACGTACAAGTATATGACCAAATCGAAAATTTATCATGAACTTGTATGTTATCATGTGACGGTCATAAAAAAAATAAACTGTTATTCCAATCCAGAGCCGAAGTGGCCATACAAGAAATTTACTCAATTCAACAATAAAAGTCATTTGATTATTTAACATTTTCCAATTAGTCAAAATGAGTGCTTTTGGGCAATACAGGTATACCACATATACAGTACCGAGCAAAAGTGGAGAAACATTTTATTTTTTTAAGGATTTTATTAAACTATTAAAGTAAACTAAACACTTATGTTTTATTATAACTTAATGTAACAGAGCCAACATACAAATAAAATTTCTGCTCTAATAAAACTATGCTAACAATTATTATCAGAAAATACAGCGAGCAAAAATAGAGAAACATAATATACAAAGCAATTGTCGTATACAAAGAAGCTAATACTTGGTTGCATAACCTTTATTTTTGATAACTGCTAGACATCTTTTTCTCATAGATCCAATTACGCTATGTATTGTTTCTTTTGGAATAGAATTCCAGGCGACTTCGATTGTTTCAAATAGTTCGGCACTATTTTTGAACTTTTCTGGATGTTCAGTCCGAATTTTTTTATAACTAAATCCCATAGGTTCTCCATGAGGTTAAGGTATGGACTCTGAGCTGGCCACTTAATGACATTAATATTGTGATCTGCAAAAAATGTTTTTATTATTTTCGCTGTGTGCTTGAGGTCGTTGTGCTGGAACCGCCAGCGCAGAGGCATGTTTTCTTCTGCGTAAGGTAGCATGGTATCAGTTAAGATGAAAATAAATTAAATTTGCTTTCATCAGAAAATAATACAGAATTCCACTTTGTTTCTGACCAGTTTAAATGATCGTAAGCAAATTGAAGACGGGCGGTCCGATTTTTCTTGGAAATAAAGTGTTTTTTAGATGGTCTCCTTGCTGGTAAATCACTCTCCCTTAAACGTCTTCGATCAGTGTGGACACCAATATTTTCTTCTTCAATTTGAGCTTTTACGTCGACAGCAGTAGTAAATGGATTTTTAAGAGCAAGTGTTTTAATTTTCCTATCAATCCTAGGTGTGGTTTTTTGCGGTCTACCAGTCTTAGGAGGACTTACCAACAATTTTCTGAGGCGGAGCAGCTTAATAGTTTTGCAAATTACCGATCGGCTTAAATTCAGCTGTTTGACTATGGTTTCTTGTTCAGTGCCTGATCGATATTTTAAAATAATCAATTCTTTTATTTGCAAATTCAATGTAATTCCTCTGGTCGTGTTTTTGAACTACACTTTACCAAATACGCTCAAAAATAACACCTATTCTAATCAACGAGTAAATATAAACGTAAATATTTACAAAATGTTTCTCTACTTTTGCTCGTTGAACAAAGAACACACCATATATTTAAAAAAAGAATGTATACAAAGATAAGCATTTCATTATCTTGAGGTAGTCATACATAAAAAACTTTAGTGTACAGTTTTGGGTTAGAGTAAATCTTTCTGGATTTTTATTTTTAATGTGGTTTGTTTCTCTACTTTTGCTCGGTACTGTACCTATACCGGAAATGAAGGACGGGGATGCAACTACAATGATTAATAAACGCATTTATATGTTGCACTAAAAGTCGCGAAATTATAAGAAGCTGTGTCATTATACAGGGTGTTCCATAATTATTGCGACAAAATGATAGGGGTTGTAGAGGGCATAAAAATATGCAATTTTGCCTTATAAACCCCTGTTCGTAAATATGCCGTTTGAGCACTACAGTTAATTTTACCTTAAGAGCTCATAGGAGAAACAAAAAATTCACCAGCTGCAAAATGTTCGTCTAGCACATTTCATGGTCTCACCGGTTTGTAAAAAAAGCCTGCTGTGTTTACATTTTTGTTATCGTACACCCGTACCACCTTTTAAAAGTCCAAGCCATGGGTCCAGCAGACTATCTGCCGCGTCGACGTTTTTGCCGTTGGTGGCTGCAGCAGGAGTTGAGGCAACCAAACTTTGGTCGCTACGTTTTGTTCACTGGCGAGTCCTGTTTTACAAAGGACGGTTATTTTAATAGCCATAACAGTCACATTTGGGATGAAGAAAACCCTCATGCCATAGCCATCCATAGAGACCAACATCAGTTTTCAATTAACATCTGGTGCGGCATTGTGGACGAGCATATCATCGGGCCATATCTGCTTCCACCACGTTTGGATGGGCATGCTTATGGTCGATCCTTACAGCATGTGCTACCGGAACTATTACAAAATGTGCCACTGAATATAAGAGCCAACATGTGGTTTGAACACCATGGCGGTCCAGCCCACTTTTCTTTACAAGTGCGGCAGTATTTGGACGACAAATTTTCAAATAGGTGGATAGGCCGAGGTGGCCCTGTGCCTTGGCCTGCGCGGTCACTTGACCTGACCCCACTGGATTATTTTATCTGGAGCTATCTGAAAGCTTTAGTGTACGAAACTCCTGTTCCTAACCAACAAGAGCTACTGGGAAGAGTGATGGCCGCGTCCGCACATGTTCAGGACATACCGGGGGTATGCCACAGAGTTCGCCGATCATTGAACAATCGTGCACAGCTGTGTATTCAGCAAGGTGGAGGACACTTTGAGCAATTACTGTAGGTAAGCTGTTTCAAGAAACTGATCTTTTTTTTTTGCTGCAGCCCAAACGGCATATTTCCGAACAGGGGTTTATAAGGAAAAATTGTTCATTTTGATGCCCTCTACAACCCCTATCATTTTGTCGCAATAATTATGGAACACCCTGTATACACAATTGTTGTTTTAATTGAAATTGAGAAGCAGTCAAAATGACTTCCTTAGGCAATCTAGTGTTGACGTGATTCCGAAAGGCCTGCTGGGTTGCGATCATAGAACATCCACGCGACGTCAACCGACTGAATGGTATGCGTTTTAAAACATCAAGTTACGCTGCCGCACCTTGTATAATTCCTTTGTACGTTGAATCACCGATTCTGACTATGAGGGTATGCGGGTGACAATAATTTTTTTTTGTGTAGTAGCGTTACTTGTACTTACAGTCGAAATATTTTCGTATTTATTGGAACATTGACATACGTATTTTTTAGCTGCAGCCCAACAGCGCGGCAGGATCTGGAGCCCTAGAGCATGACTCTGCCTGTCTATATAGACAAGTACAACCAGTGAGTTGACAACTTTTTTATATATTCATTATATTTGTCATCAATAAATACGGTTTATTGACGGAATCAAAGCAGTTACGTCACAATAATGACAGTGACGCACATGGTTGCCACATCAATTAAAACTATTAGATCTTACGACGTTTTAGAAAATCTACTTTGTCTTCGATGCCTTATCGCAACCAACATTACGGAGCGTATGTTTTGTAATCGCTAAAGCTAGTATACCTGTAAATCCTATTTACTACCTAATACCTCTATTATGGCAATAATGGAGCTCAGTGATCTCGTTCGGTCTCAAAATATTTCGTCAAGGAATGACGAATTCTTTTGCTTGTCGACCCAGAGGTTTCGGCATTTTAGCAAAATGCTTAAAGTTTTGAAAAAAATTGTTTTTATAAAATAACAATGCAAATATTGAGGCAAAAAGAACTAACAAACAGGCGTTGGCATAATTACCTGCGACAATTTCACAACACAGAAAACGGTTACCAACATAAATGTACCCGGGAAATTCAAACTATACGTACCAATTTAGGATATATTTTGCATTAAGGTTGGCATTCAAATTGACTAAATATGACGGAACTGCGTTGTTTCAGTGAATAAACTATACATTTGTTTGTAGGGAGAGACCATATCAGGGCCACTTCCCTTAGGCGTATCGGTAATAGACATAGCTGTCCTACTTTTTGGACAAATATTCCCACGAGTGACTAACAAGCACCGCGTCCAAATGTTAGACCATTTCGCTGAATGTATAAAGCATGTCAGAAGCACAAGACAGGAAGCTGTGCAAATGAACGTGTTTACTGCTCTCTTAGTTGGCTTGAAGAACCTGACTGAAACGAAGACGAACATAAACCAAGAGGATATCAAGAAATCGGCGGTAAATCTGATAATCGGAGCTTTAATCACCCCGAACCCCATATTGCGCTATGCGGCTGGAGAGGCCGTTGGTAGAATGGCCCAAGTAATATCAGATCCGAAGTTCACCGCAGAGCTAGCGCAAACCAGTTTTGACAGGCTGAAGTTAGCCAGAGATGTAGCCAGCAGGACAGGGCACTCCCTAGCTCTCGGCTGTTTGCACAAATACGTTGGAGGGATGGGATCTAGTCAGCATCTCAGTACCAGTGTCTCGATTTTATTAGCTCTGGCTCAAGATCAAACGTCTCCAATCGTGCAAGTTTGGTCGCTACATGCTTTGGCGCTGATCATTGATTCAGGTGGGTACACGACGTTTTGAAGTAAGATACACTATGATTTATCTACAGTGAGTCAAAATAGTATTGGCACATCGTATTTTTTCTTGAATCTCAATAATTTTTGAACACTAAATTTATCTTAAAAGTAACATCCAAATAGTCATTTTGGATGGAAATAGATTGACCAAATTAAAAATAATACAGGGTGGCCGATATATAACTGACTGAATTAAATTGCTCCCCATTTTTAATACACATTTCAGTTGGTGGCGCCGTAGTAGTTGTTTAAAGCAGATGTGTCCAATTCATCACGGAGTTCTACACGATCCCACAACGCGTCCGTACTGTTGAAACATTTTACTTAAATAATGAGTCGATTGTTGCAACGATTCTGAAGCTATGACAAGATTCCGGTCGAAATAACGTTCCCAGTATCAACACCATTAGTCAGTTCGTGCGGAAATTTGAACAAACAGGTGAAGTGAAGTTAAAGACTTGCCATGGTCGAACTTTTCGTACTCCGGAAAATAGAGAGAGTTCGTGAAAGTGTAGTGGAGCGCCCTAAGATGTCTACCAGACATCGTTCTCGAGAACTGGGTATTCGTCGCACGTTATTATGCATTTGCGGCCATACAAAATTCAGTTAACCCAAGAACTACATCCTAGTGACCATGAAAGTTGCCGACAATACAGTCATGCAATATTGAAGCTTAATTCCTGAAATGACGATTTTTACCGACAACTGATTTGAACGGATTGTTTAATAAGCAGAGTTGTCGTATCTGGGTATTAGAGAACCCTCGTGTCATCCATCAACGACTACTATATCCTCGTAGAGTCACAGTTTGGTGCGGTGTTCGATATGGAGGTGTCATTGGACCTTACTTCTTTGAAGGCAGCAGCGGTGGCCGCAGTAGTAGACTCTTCGGTCTCCTGATCAGTTGCCGTGCGCTGTGCGGGTTCGAATCCCGTCCCAGGAGAAATTTTTTTCTTGGCTATGGATGTTGTGATTGTCTGTAGGTGGTAGACGGTATCTGACTTCGATCGCGGAGGTACTACCCGGCGGATCTCGTATTGCATGCACACGTGTTCCCTCGCCAGAGTCCGTGTGGCGTTCCCCCTTTTCCCTGTATTCCCCTATAGCCCCACGGTACCCCATGTGTGTTTACTCCTTAGGCCTTCGTGGTGGTTGGAGTATATAAAAAAAAGACGCTGCAGGTAATCCTCTTATTATCACTGGCGAGCGCTACCGTGATATGGTGCAAAACTTTCAAGCTCCTCAAATTCAACAATTTAACCTGCAAAACATGTGGTTCCAGCAGGACGGGGCAACTTGTCACGCAGCTAGGGAAACAATTAATCTTTTGCGAACAATATTTCCGGGACGTTTAATTTCTCGACTTAGTGATGTCAACTGGCAGACAAGGTCACCGGTTTTAAAGGCTCCTGACTTTTTTATGGGAACTTTTGAAAAATATGGTTTATGCCAACAAACCAAATACTGTAGAGCAGCTGAAGAACAATATTTCGGAAGCGATTAAAAATATTCCTCTCGACACTTACCAAAATGTGATGGAAAGTGTAATCAAGAGGACTCAGGTTTTGCTCGGCTTCTGGAGGCGGACATTTGTCTATTATTTTTCATACATAATTTCTAAGTTTCAATAAAAGATTAAGATGAACAAAATGGATGTATTTTATTTCATTTCACAAATAATCAAGATACAGATACGTATCGGCCACCCTAAATTTTGTTTTAAAATAAATGTAGTTACATTTTCGTTATTGAGATTAAAAAAATTGTGTGTTCCAATACTTTTTTGACCCACTGTGTATGGGTTGATCTGATAGTCACGTTTCAACCTAATGGCTGTAGAATCCACTTTATCCTATCACCGATTTTATTGTTTGTGGCCCTTGTCTATTTTATAGCGTAATTTCCCTGAGACACAAATTAGGAAAATAGTATGACTCTTCATCTCTTTCAGGTGGACCCATGTTCCGAGGTTATGTTGAGCCCACATTATCTCTAGTACTGAAACTTCTACTCAACATCCCTCAATCATACATCGACGTTCACCAGTGCATTGGCAAGGTGTTATCAGCACTGATAACAACTATTGGTCCCGAGCTGCAAGGCAACACGTCAAGCATATGTATGGCGAGGTCCTCTTTCTTATGCGCATGCGCTATCATGCAGGACCATCAAGATCCATTGGTGCAAGCCGAGGCCACAGGCTGCTTGCAACAACTACACTTGTTTGCTCCAAAGCATGTCAATCTGTCTTCTCTGGTGCCCACTCTATGTGTAAGTACTGACCACAGACCACTAAGAATATATTCCTGGAAAAATTGAAGTTTACTGTATTAATCGCTTATTTACAACATGGAATTTTTGACTACCAGAAGACAGATTAAGTTTAAATAATTATTTCTTACAGCGCACTTTATCTAGTAATCACTTCCTTTTGAGAAGAGCAGCAATCTCGTGTTTGAGGCAGTTAGTCCAAAGAGAAGCAAAAGAGGTTTGTGAACACGCTATGAATTTGGCCATTGAAAGTAAAGAGCAAAATAACGTGGAAGGGCTCACGATCACAGAAACTGGCCTACCAGGGGTATTTTTCAGTATGTTGGATACTGAGACAGATCCTGCAATGATCAAAGATATTCACGATACTATTATAAGCATGCTTCAAGTGCTTGCTGCTAGTAATCTGTCTCAATGGCTGGGACTTTGCAAGGATGTCCTTACAGTGGCTGTGGGTAAGAGACATTTTATAACAATTGATAGAACATTCCTTGAAATATTGGCAAAACATGTGATTGACGCGTCATTCTGTTATTTTAGAAACTGGATCAGAAGATAGAGTGAGCTTGAACGCAAATGAAGACAACGACGTGGAGATCGACGATGACCAGGCTGAGTTCCATGCAGAGGACGATTCATCTCACCAAGCGATTCAACCAAGATGGCCTACCAGAGTATTTGCAGCTGAATGTGTCCGCAAGATTATCGCAGCTTGTGAAGCTAGCAATCAGTCTGCTCACTTTGATCTGGCCAAGGCTAAGAAACTACAGCTGACCACGGGGAAAAGCGATTTTCTGTGTTTACATTTGTCTGATCTAATCAGAATGGCATTCATCGCTGCCACCAGTGATTCAGATCCTTTACGACTAGAGGGCTTGAAAACTCTTCAAGATATCATCCAGAAGTTTGCAAAGGTATGAACTCCTGTCACCGAAGTTCAGCACTAACCACCATCAATTCAATTTCTGAGAAGACACTTTTGTCTAGACAGCACTAAACCACTATTGCCAATTACGTTCTCTGTGAGTCTAGCTTGCCATTTGTAGTGACATTGAATTTCAGCTCTCATCCTGTCACGCTGATGAAAGGAGCTGCTGTTGGAGGTTTCATCTTGGCTGCAACGGGTATACGCTTTTCCTGCTTCTTGGGACGTTTCACATGGTCTATCACGACGTCTTGACTAATGACTCAATGGACCTGCTCGTCAAGTCTTCGCAGGCGAGCGTCTCGCTCAGCAAACTTCTGTCCGACTTTTCGGAGGTGCGCGTCTTGTTTATCAAGCTTCTGTTCCATTTTTCGGAGCTGCCCGTCTCGTTCAGCGAACGTGTGTTCGACTTCATGTAGCTCCACTTGAAGCTTCTCCATCGTCTCTAATACGAGTAATTCTTCTCTGAGGGTACAGGTGATGTAGTTCATATTCTCTGAGAGGGCTTGGTTCTCCTCCTTCAGCATCTGCGGTATGGCCTTGGGTTTTTCCGTGGGTGGAGCGGCTGGTGTCGTCCATTTTCTGGGAAAGGGCCTGGTTTTCCTCTCTCAGGGCAGACAGGGGCCGCTCATCGTCATTGGAGCTTGGAACCTCGAATTCTAAGGTCCCTGAATCTTCCCGCGGCGCTCTAAGTAGTCCCGAACACGGGCCACCAGCATCGACTTTGATCCCGTCGTCTTGAGCTCAGCCTCCTCTAGCTCCCTCTTCAGGCCCAGTGAGCCAATTAAAATTTGTCATGCAGCTTAAAGTGTGTTGATTTGAGGCAGATATTGAGTAAATTTGTTACAATTTTTGTTTTTAGCTTCGTACTTTCTGATAAAATGTTAGCATTAATGTTTGTTGCAGGTTCCCGAACCAGAGTTTGCTGGTCATTTGCTTCTAGAGCAGTTCCAAGCCCAAGTAGGTGCGGCCTTAAGGCCCGCTTTTTCTCCAGATACTTCTTCGCTGGTGACAGCAGCTGCGTGTAAGGTTTGCTCTACCTGGATCGGTTCAGGCGTTGCAAAAGATTTGAATGATTTGAAGAGAGTTCATCAGCTTCTAGTGTCATCTCTTGCGAAGATGCAAAATAAAAATAGTACCAACCAGTTGTATAATGAAAGTCTGACGACGCTCGAGAAGCTGTCTATATTAAAAGCATGGGCGGAGGTATATATTGTGGCTATGAAAGGAAAGGAATCGATACCTAGCACTAACAAAGACAACAATTCTAATAGATCTGAAACTGAAGGGAGTCTTTTGACATTAGTACAACCAGAGTTGGTCAATTTGTCACAATACTGGCTAGCAGCGCTGAAAGATTATGCTTTACTTTCTTTGCCAAGTGAATTTTCTAGTCAACTGCCCCACGATGGAGGAGCATTCTACACAAATGAGACCATGGAATCCTCAAAACCATACTATGTGACCTCCTGGCCCCCGATATTACATGCAGCAGCGCTATGGTTAAACTACGGTTGTTTCAACGAAATCAATGATAATGACAACGAAACTTTAAACAACAATAGAGGAAGTGATAGTGACAGATTTCATCTACTTTTTGGTATCTGCATGGAAGCTTTGTGTAATCCACAATCCATAGAACCACTCGAAAGCATTTTAAGCTGTCTTCAAGCTTTGTATATTCTCTTGGATACAAAATACATACGAGAACTTTTGATGAGTGACAGCTTTTTGAGTATAGAGTTGTGCAACGTCTTACATCGTTTGATATTGACCAGAGATGATGTCACCTGTCATCTTTATTGTCTAGAGGTGCTCAAGCAAGTTGTCAACGCAGGACTGGAGGATCTTTCACAAAAGAAAACTAAAGCATTCTCGGAAAATGACAAAACGATAGATGTGGATATCCTAGGTGAAGGTGGCGAAGCGGGAGAGTTAGTTCCACAAAAATCGTTGTCCTTTTCAATTTTGGAGGTGTGTCTATGCCTTCTGATCCGTCAGATACCGTCGCTATGTCCATCTCCAACACCTACGATATTGAATTCTTTGAAGATGACGCACACTGATGACCAAACTGACCAAGTGATTGGTTCGACTATCAGTGTTATAGAAAATTTACACAAGCTTTGCTCTCCCAAAGGAGCAGTGGCTTTACTACCCACTATTTTGTATCTCGTGACAGGCACCATCAAAGAAACAGCGACAGTAAGTTTGACTATGAAATATTTCCAAAACCGTGTTAAGTAGAATGACTCAGTATTTTCCATTTATTCAGATTTTTGTCCAAGTTTCTTTTTCAGTATGCTTATACCGATTTTGAGGTTTTCAAGGTTCGTATGTATTGAACTGATTTTAAAATGGTTAGATATTGAGTCGGATGTATTGAATTGTTCTACTTGAAGCTGGATAAAAGCGGCCATGTTGTGCAATGATTAGCTTATTATACAAGAAGATGCACAAGTATATACAGGGTTTGTTCGGAAAGTAATAGGACTCATTTTCTTCCGCCATGACTGTACTTCGGAGCGTACGCGCACCAACTGGATTCGGTAGAGGGCGTTCCTAGCTAACGAATGAGCGGCTGTTCAGTGTGTGTCTCCGAGCACTTGGAGAGTCAGGACAGGCATTTTAGCGCCACGTGTTTCTGTGAGTAGTGCAAGCCGAAAATGCAGCGTAAGGTTAGAGCAGTGGTACGCGATTAAATTCTGTGTGAAACTCGGTAAATCTGCGACAGAGACGTTTGATATGATCAAGCAGGCTTACCCAGGTGTTGCTTTAGCAAGAAGTGGTGGCACCAGGCCTTTTTGGAGGGCCGGGAAGAGGTCGCTGATGGAAGACAAACACCGATAATGTGACTCGTGTGCGCAAAGTTTTCAACTCAGACCGTCGACTAAGTATTCGTTTAATTGCCCAGATGTTAAATTTACCAAAATCTGAGTCCGACAAGACATCGCAGCCGACTAGAAGTTGCACCACGACACCGCCTTTCTTGTGAACAGCTACCTGACCAAGGCCGGCATCCCAACGCTTCCGCAGCCGCCCTACAGCCCAGATGTGGCTCCCCCGAACTTTTTTTTGTTTCCTCGCCTAAAAAGGCCGATGAAAGGCAAGCATTTTGAGGGGATCCAAGTAGCTAGCACCGGGGCTCTCAAGGCTATTCCGGAAAATGCCTTCCGTGACGCCTTCAATGCTTTGAAATCGTGCTGGCAGCGCTGCATCGACGCAGAAGGAGCCTATTTTGAAAGTTTTTAAAGAATCGTAACGATTGGCTCAATTAATTTTTTTAAATCGACTCAGTCCTATTACGTTCCGGACAAACCCTGTATTTTGATGTTCACATACAATTCCATTGTCATGTTGCCAAGTATAGCACTGCAATAATTCCCTAGGAAGTAAAAATAGAGTTTTTAATTCTGATTCCAAAACTGTATACGTCATTCAGTGCCGTTGTCAAACCTGAGTTATTTTAAAAAAATTAATATATACTAAGTGACATATAAATCCGAACACCCAGTTTAAATGGTTTTATTTTAATAAAATTTTGTATAAGTACTTAATGAAGCATAATAAGTAAATGATACAAATTTCAAAATGATTGCACTGCTTTAAAGCCCTTTGACCTTTAATAATGTGTGGATGCACCCTGATGTGCTACGCATTCTCAACCGCGCCTAGGCATGCTTCTGATCAGGTGGTCAATGTCCTCCTGTGGTATCTCATTCCAGGCAACCACCAACTCCTCTCGAAGTGCTTCTAGAGTCTGAGGAGGACGTTGCAAATTGAGCAATCTCCTACCCATCATATCCCACACGTGCTCAATTGGGGATAAGTCGGGAGATCTTGGTGGCCATGGTAACAATGTGACATCATTATGTTGAAAGAAGTCTATTGTGACTCTTGCAACATGTGGTCGGGCATTATCTTGTTGGAAAGTTGGATCTGCCAGGGTGTCAAGATAGGGTAAAAGATGGGGTTCTAGAACTTCGTGGATATAACGCTGCGCGTTCATGTTACCCCTGATGAAGATTAAAGGTGACCTGGAACCATAAGCTATAGCACCCCAAACCATAACTCCATCAGTGTGATGAACATGTCTTTCAACAAAAAACTGTGGATTCCTCCTTTCACCACGTCGCCTTCTAACCCTGGCACGACCATCGTGCATGCCTAAACAAAATCGAGACTCGTCACTAAAGACAATACTGTTCCATTCCTGATCCCATAGTGACCGTTGTCTGCACCACTCAAGGCGATTACGTCGGTGTTCTCGAGTTAACGGGAGGACCCAGTGTGGCCGGTATGAAAACAAGCCAAAACTTCTCATTCGTCGGTAAACACTTCGCATGCCAATAGGTCTTCCGTGTTCTGCAAACCATTCATTTGCAATGGACCTGGTAGTGGAGAAACGGTCCCTTAAAGCCAATAATCTTAGGCGGCGATCTCCACGGTCTGTTGTTCTACGGCGGCCCCCAGTGCCCCTTGCTCTTTGCGTACGGCGTTCTCGAAGTCATGCCTGACAACACCTAACCACAGTGTCTACACTTCTTTGCACTCTAACTGCAATTGCCCGAAAAGAAAGTCCAGCTTCCCGAAGTCCCACTATACGGCCCCTATCAAACTCACTAAGTTGACGAAATCGTACAGGTCTCCGTACTCTAGGCATCGTAACCGATCGTAAAGGATGTCAAGAACCAAAATCCGCCAACGTTGATTCTTCACTGCGGCTGAAATATTCATTTTTAGAGCGTTAGTGAATTAAAAAAAGCAGTATAAAAACCGGAATGTCCAACTGATAAGGCTGAACATTTTTTCACTTGTTATTTACAGTAAGATAAATACATTCAGCTACTTTTATTAAAATAAAACCATTTAAACGGGGTGTTCGGATTTATATGGCACTTAGTATAGTTGGCGTGGAAAATGGCAGTTTGTCACATGTTTATCCGATTAAATCAATTGTTTTTTATTCGATGAGTTGAGACCAACTATAGGACGATTACTTTTTTAGATATTTGAAGCTTTATAATAACAATCCATGTCATGATATGAACAATATCATATCATAAAAACTGTAGGAATCAAAGGTCTGTTTGATAATTTCAGGGCCTACCTATTTTTTTTTTTTAAATAACCAAGGCATATACTTGATTTTTGGAATCAGAATTAAAAACTTAACAAACAATATGGCGTCTATGTGAAAAATAATGTGGATGATTGAGGTTAAGAGATGAAATGTGATAATTTTAATCATGCAACCTGTTAAAGGACACAAAGGGACAATGCTAAGGTACTATTTTGAAATCCTATCTCAAAGTCAAGGAAAAAAAAACGATTTTGAGAAAATTCGGTGTCCTTCGCCTACGGAATTACGCGGAATTGCGAAACTTTTTCCATTTTGTCAGTTATCTAAATGTACAACTTTGCTCCGACTGAAACACCTGGTATATAGGGTGGAAAATGGGACTATATTTCTAGGGCAAAAATAGATAAAAACAACACGAAAGTTCATATAAACATGAGTCTTCAGATGTCCCCTCACCGAGATACTGGGTGTTATAATTTTGAAGTCGAAAAAATATATAATCCTCAGAGTGCATTAGGATACTGACCTAAAATTTAGTACATGTAGTACTGACATCATAGCCACTACATAGGAAAAATTTTCAGTCCTTTCAGTGACGTGGAAATTAGGAAGTTTTGACCCCTACAGAAAAATAGTTTTTTACTACTCCACCGACTTTTACATGAATAGTCTCTTTAAAAAAAAATTGTCATTCTTTTTTTGGAGAAAAATTGGTTTAAATATTTGAAGTAAAATCCATATAAGAAACTTCAAAATACGTGGAAAGTTAGTGAAACTTACGTTATTTGAACAATTTTCATGTTTTGTCCTTATTCAGTCTCATCAGTGGTGTAGATATTTACAACGCTCTATATATTGGCAGGGGGGCATTTTAGGACACATGCTTATAGGTACTACTTTTTGTTATTTTTGGCAGTAGTTTCTACCCTAAAAATATTGCTATGTTTTTCTAACTCACCCTGTATTCTTCTTCTGATGGAATATGTCTATACGTTTTATTCAAGGTCAATTTTTTTAGGTAAGCGCAAACAACAATGTTGCCGTTGCCAATAACCCTTCCATTCAAGCAGCACTCCACTGTCTGAAAACTCTGGCCGATGACCCCTACTCAAAGCACCCAGAAAGCTGTGATAGTTGGCAAAAGTTGTTGCAAAGCGCTCTTGCCAAAATTATTGATTTCGCAAAGACGTGCAGTGACGAGAATAAGTTGGATGAAGTTACTATCATGTTGGCGCTTGCCGTGTTTGTTTTGAATGCACCAGCAAAAGTAGTGATTGTACCCAATCTGTTGTATCCATCTATCAATCACTTCAGACAGTGTTTGGATAATCCCAACCCAGTGGTAGGTTTTTAGTATCACATTGCTTGGAACATTTTTCCTGACTTTCTTTTTCGAGCTCGTACCTTGTACTAAGCTTGGCTAACTCTGTTATTTTTAGGTTCGCTTAAAGTGTATCAAGACGTTAAAATCTCTATTCGCTCATCAAGACAAAGCAATAGCAAGTTCTTATATTCATACTTTAGCACCACAGCTGGTAGAATTCCTGTACTCGGAAAACGAGATACACTCTGATGGAGAACTTTTCGTTACCGCAGAGATCATAACAACTGTAGAGTCGCTGATTGAACTAGCAGATCCAGAGAAAAGTAAGGAATTTCTATGTTTCGTACTGAAAGTGCAGAATTACTATTAGATTTATTTTGGGACATATTTAAATATACAAGTTATTCCGTGCTTAAATGGACATAGTGAAATGATAGGTAGTATGGACCGAGACGTTCTCGTATCTGAAAATAAAAAGTTATAGTTTTCTGAAAGAATTATGATTTCACAGAGAAAAGATCAATACATGATGAAAATAAAAGGGAAAATTAATTTTATGCCCCTATTTCTTTTGTCAGTAATTTGTTAATGATTTAATTCTACCAACTGATAGTACAAAACATGCAAGTGCACTGACTGACCTTTCAAACCGATTCAAGATTACGAAGAAAATGCAGAAAAATCTAATGTAAAGGTCCGGACTTAGTACTTTCAGCATGGTTACATTTGCATGCTCTCACCACAACCCTATGCTAGATTTAGTTACATAAAAAATCACCCAATTTAAATGTCAAGTTCGCTTAATTTCAAGTTGGTCTGGGGAGTGGAATTGCATATTACATGCCGTTTCCCTTTTTAACAAGAATTCGCGTTGTACAGTGTGCTGGTAGGAGTATATCATTAAAAAATTACAAAAAAAGTATGTCGGGTGCATAACATAAATTTTCCTTTCTATTTGAATCATGTTTGGCATCTTTTTTCTGCGTAATAAATTCAGAGTATAAATTACAGGGCGTTGCACTTGATAAAATACAAATAAATAAAACTGAATTCGACTCCGGAATTTTTAGTTCCCAAAACATCTTTAGTTAAATTTAAAGCATCATCTATTATTAAAACGTTGATGAAACAAGTAATAACTTTAGAAATTTTGAGTTTCGTGCCGCATAAACTGTTTAGATAAATCACTCTGTATATCCGTAAAAACTAAATTTAGATCATTTTTATTTTCAGTTATGAAAAGTACGTACCATTTCACCATGTCCATTTAGATACGGAACACCCTGTAGTCATAGGTTATCTGACGAAAAATCTAATTTCTTTAGGGAAGAAAACAAGTATATCTGGTATTAATATATTTGCCCAAAATAAATGTAAAAAAATACTTATTAGTGTGAAATATTTCACAAACTATTCCAATATATTTCTCGTTTCTGCACTCAGGAGGTTTCGTCAAAGGCAAGTAGTGTAAATGCCCCAAATGCATGAAAATAAGCTTTTCTATCCCTTTGTAAATAATAGCACAGTGGTATGATATTTGGATTTATCTGTAGATGCTTTGATGATCTTATATGCAGGGTGTTCCTTAATGACATGCGAATATTTAATGAAAAATTAATGTTAGTTTGCTTTATAAATTATGGTCCGAAAATGTTTCCTTAGAAAAGCTCTGGGTGTTGAAGTTTTAGGGAAAAAAATAGAAATTAATTAATATTTTCAGAACCGCTTCAGATATTTCACTGATATTTAGTACGTAGTGAAAGTTAATAAAGTTACATATTTTTCATTGCAAAAATAATTTTTAGCTTTAACAGTGGCGTGCGTACGGGTATTGACTTCGATATTTTTTGAGAAAAAAATGGTACGCCAATGGGTTTTTGCCAAATAAAAATTATTTTTGAATTCCTCGTTCAATTTAAAACAAATGATCTTTCTTGAATTTTTTGTCTTTGATGCGCCATTTTTGAGTAAAAAAATAAAAACCTTTCTATTGTCCGAGAAAATTAATGTAATAATTGAATGCAATTTAGCAATAAATATCTAGTTGCTCTGGAATATGTCACTGGCTTTCTCTGTTATTGAGATCTGTTCGCTGTGACATCTCTTTCATTATTTAGTTTTTACAATCTTATTAATAATGGTGAATTATTCAAATGCAGAAATGGTGGAAATGCATTACGTATATGGCCTTGCCGACGGTAATGGTGAGCAAGCCAGACGGATTTATCACCAGAGATATCCCGATCGAGCTTTGCCAGATAGTCGAACCTTTTCTAATATTCATCGTCGTCTTGTTGAAACTGGTTCTGTCCGAAAAGGAACATCTGAAGGTTGACCTCTAAGTGTGAGAACACCTGAAATTGGGGAAGCAGTGCTGCAGTCGAAGAACATCCTGAAACGAGTACGAGGAAGATCGCTAGACACTTAAATATTTGCCATCAAATTATTTGGAGAATTTTAGTAGATTTTTTGTTATATCCTTACCATATTTTAAGAGTACAGGCATTACTTCCCATTGATTTTCCAAGGCGTGTGACCTTTTGTCAGTGGTATCTTCAAAAAATTACACAAAATACGCAATTTGAATCAGTGATTCTGTTCACGGACGAGGCTAATTTTTCAAGAAATGCCATTCAGAATTTCCACAATAATTATTTGTGGGCAGAAGCCGTAACCGAAACTCATTTCCAACACCAATTTTCGGTTAACGTATGGGCGGGAATTATTGGCGACCACTTTATTGGCCCTTTCTTGCCGGTACGACTTGACGGACAGACTTACCTCAATTTTCTTCAACAACAGTTGCCACAATATGTGGTACATGCATGATGGTGCACCAGCGCATTTCAGTGTAGCGGTTCGTAATTGTTAACAAACTGTGTATCCAAATCGTTGGATTGGCCGCGGTGGGCCCCAAGAATGGCCGCCAAGCTCCCCAGACCCCAACAGTTTAGATTTCTTTTTGTGGGGCTATCTTAAGACACTAGTATACACAAGTCCCATTAACACTGTAGAGGAATTAAGACAAAGAATAGTTGCAGCTTGTGATAGAATAAAAAACACTCCAGGGATATTTCAACGAGTGCGCAATTTCATGAGGAGCGCGGAAGCATGCATACAAGTGAAGGGGGCCATTTTCAACAATTTTTGTAATCATTTCGTTGGTTTTAATGTTATGTTTATGTTGTCAGTTGTTGTTGTTCATCACCCCTAATGTGTTTAATTTTTCCAATTAAATTAATAATAATTTTGCAAGTTGGACAATAGAACGGTTTTTATTTTTTACTCAAAAATGGCGCATCGAAGGAAAACAATTCATGATAGATCATTTGTTTTAAATTGAACGGGGAATTCAAAAATAATTTCTATTTGTCAAAAAAACATTGGCGTACCATTTTTTCTTAAAAAAAATCGAAGTGAATACCCGTACGCACGCCACTGTTAAAGCTAAAAATTATTTTTGCATTGAAAAATATGCAACTTTATTAACTTTCACTACGTACTAAATATCAGTGAAATATCTGAAGCAGTTCTGAAAATGTTAATTAAAATGCGGTCCTGTGTATGATGTTTCATTTTTAGTCACGACTTGTGAATCACCCTGTACGATTCATAGCAATGCTAAATTTTATATTCACGCATCTAAGCACATAATGATTTTATCAATTAATTCTTCAGGGATACAAATGCTAACTCTTCTGGTGCCTGTGCTAGTGAACTTCCTTTTGACGGATCCAAATATGAAGTATAAAAACAAATATGCACATTCACTCCATGAGATCAGTCTCCAATGGTTAATGAAAATTGCTCCTAAATACCCACAGGTAAGGAGATACTGCTAATACGTAACTTAGAAAGTAACTGCAACATAGACAAAAGTTTTAATACCTTTTTTTATACTCGATGACAAAGAAAATAGAATCCTCAGTTAAATGATTTTATTTTTCGTGCTTTTCAGGCATTAAATCGCTTACAACTCGAAAATAGTCAGCTTTAGAGAAAAGTTAATGGAAGCCTTTTTTTTTCGGCATTATAAAAAAAATCTGAAAAAAAAATTTAATCGAATGGAAATAATTAAATTTCATCCGGGTTACCGTGCGGGTATATTCAATGCCTAAAAACTCGGTTAAAAATTAATATTTTTGAGGTCGTAAAGTACCTAAATTGAATTGATTTCTATTTCTATAGCTTTCTGACGAACAGTCTCACAAATAAGGATAAGACCAAAAAAAATATGAACTTTACTATCATGACTGTAGTCCAATTGAAACTATAAATTTTCCTTAAAACCTCTCTTCTCACTTGGTTCACTCATTTTCGTAACCATAAGTTTCATCTCATGATATAAAACTTAATCACTAACTTAATAAATGTCACATCGAGATTCGCGATATATCATGTTTACACGGTGAAACCTGAGATTAAACTCTCGTGAGACATTATTACACGAGATTTTCTCACTATCGCACTTATCTCACGCTGGTTTATAAAATGAGATTTTTATTTTACGAGACTAAAATCACGAAAAAATCTTGCTGTGGATATGCACCTTACAAGTCAATATGTCGACATTCACGCGGGATTAGTCATAGCAACGATCATGTGCGCCCGCAGGAATTTCTCTCAGGGGGAGGGCGAGAGTCATATATTTTTTATACATGCTTGTAGCTAAATTTTTACTCGGAAGGGCTAACTTGTATCGGACGTGATCCTTTACGACAGCATTGCGTGGAAAGTACGGAATCAACTTACTTGACGTCACTTTTTTTAGCAAAATTTAACAAGTTATCAGGTACGTTGTGAATATAACAGTAAAGTATTTACTAATATTTAAATTATATTTATAATCGTTGGCGTTTTACAATAAAACAATTGAAGGGTACAGGGGAAAAATATGAATGTCAAAAAAAGTAAGTTCCGAGAAAAGTGTAAAAGTTTGAAGACTGCTAGACTCATTGTACAAGGTGGGTCAAAAATCTGACGGAGTACCATAGATTCCTTTTTTTTTTTTGACGAAGTTGACCAAGACCAAACATTTTTTTAATGTAAAATCCTTTTTATTTTTGTATTTTGAGATTCTCAGTACGATTTCAAACAGTTTTTGTGTTAGCGTCCATGCATGAATTCAACTTTTTTTGGGATATTGAGATTAGAAATGCCTAGGATGAAAAAGCGTTTGTAGTTTTTGAAAATCGGTCTAGGGGTGGCGGAGCTTGAACGAACCGAAAGATAACTCGCTGCAGAGATGCCACGCAGATGTGGAAAGGGACAACGTTGCCACATGGTCGGTAAATACCAGTAGGACAGGGAAATAATGTCTATGGACTAATTGGCCTGTTAAAATGACTTGATACGTTAATTTATCTGGTGTACATTTCAATGTCAATTTTTTCTTAGAGGATTTGAATTGCGCTGAATTCAATCCTTGATAAACTGATGACGGAATTATGTAGGAAGTGCAGTCAACCGACTTGACATTTTTTACTGGATGTTCTATTTTCTTTGTCATCATTACCTGTGGCTACAAGTAGACGAAAATTATTACTGTTACCTGTTATTGTAGGAGTTCAAGAAGCTGATGAGTCAATCAGATGAGCTAAGAACGAAAATAGAAAATGCAATACGGATGTGTCAGATGCAGCAATTTAAAATGAAGAATGGAATGAATTCGAATCATCAGATTGCTAATCACACCCCAACGATCAAATTGAAGACGGATTTTAGTAATTTCTCTTAAATCTAATTGGTGTAGAAAATATTGTTAGTTCGGTTAAATACCCATTATGGAATCTCTTAAGACTGTACATTATACGATATTTTTTGTAGAAATTTTTTTCTCAGCGTCAATATTAGATTATTAACGAATATTTTTTTGTATGAATCATCATGTATAGTTATTATGCAGTGGAATCTTTGAGGTTGTACAGACATTGGAGTAAACATTCATGTTGAGTTTATTTAAAGAAATCTGGAATAGCTTTATTTGCAAAATATGGAGAGTATGAACTTGACGTGGTTTTTTTTGGAAAAAAAATAATGCTTGTTTCACTTTATATAGAGAGTGCGAAACTGTACAATTTTTGAATCTTAGTACCTGGTACCTTAAAAATGAAACTCTGTTTATGTCCCTCTAAAGTCGATACAACTCAAGGATTACACTGTTTAATTTAGTCGATACAAATAAACTTTATGGATATGTATATGCTGTAGAAACAGTGTGCTATACTGCATTTTCTTACTTTTGCTGTAAAGAGTCTTGCCTAACTACTGTAAAACCATTTTACACAAAAATATGAAAATGTAGAAGAGCTACTGACAATTATCACTAAATGAAAATAAAGTGATATACTTATTCCAGTCATATTATTTCTATAAATCTTTTCTTTTTAGGGGTTTCATCTGTTACGTTCCACGCCTACTGGCGGAGAAGTATTCTAATCGAGAAAGACTGCGAAAATGCGATAAGAGTTTTTTGTCTCTCATTTCCGTTTTCTAAACCGTCTATAACATGAAAAATACTGCTCGGATTTGGGATAAATTTCCACATAAAGTTGCTACTATGCCAAGGACGAAAAATCTTTGTAGTTTTTGAAAATCGGCGCAATGGCGGCAGAAAAAAATGCTAAACATGAAAAAAAGTTTATGACCCTTTAGAGGATCTTCATCAATTTTTAAACATTTTTTAGGGGTAAAAAGTTATTTGGTGGGGGTTGTAGAGGGGTGATGGGGGAAGGAGTATCGCAAGTTTTAGATGTTAAAAGTATCGAACCTTAAATCTTTCCGCGTAATCCAATGAAGCGCGGGTGACTTCCTTTGGTGGAGATGTGGAGGGGGCATTCATGCTTAGCCCGGATTTTTTTTGCCCAGAACATTATTCAATAATATTGAAAGTAGTTCAAATAGTTTCAATAATCAAAAAGAACAAAACCAAAACATCTTGAAAAAGGGGTAACAAAAACAAATCTTCAATTACATAAATGACGAGTCGGAGTCATAAGCGTTATTACCTGTACCAACTGTTTCTTGTGAAACTACAATATTTTCGGATTCTTCGAAGATCATTCTGTAGTACCACAGATCGATTTTTCCGATAAAGGTTAAATATCAGCAGCATTTTTTTCATTAAGCGGTAAATGATAGGGTTGTACGAGCCCCTTCCCACTTCAGTTGGCCCAACTATTGAAATCTTAGTTTTTTTCTTATCAAACACAAATAATAAAAATGTAGCAGGGTGTTATAGGTTTAAAATATTAACAATAAATATTTTGATAATATATAGTAGAAAGCACCAACTTTATCACCCCCTAATCAAATTTGCAGCATAAAAATAACACATGTTGCAATTACAGCATATCAACTTATTTTCACTTCAGTGCAAAATAAGTCTATAACGCATAGGTGGCTGTGAAAAATAAAAACCATGACAATTGTTTTTATTAATCACAGCTGTCAGAATACGTTTAAAATTGTTTTGGGTGTTTAAGGTTTTCAAAATGGGTAGAGGAAAGGTTATTAGTTTGAAAATTCGGTTACTGATAATTAAATTTTTAAATTCTGGGAAATCAAACTCATAAATTGCAACTTTGTTAGACTAAGGTAGAAAACAGACGGATCGACTTTTGTCGACTCGACCGCATGGTGTAAATAACTTTATATATAATGAAACACACAGATACTCGACGCGGCGCCCCGCCGCTTGAAGTCGAGTCGACATAGGATTTCCCCGCGACTTTGCAGCGGCACTCGACGCGGCATCGACACATCATGCCATGTTCTGAAGTGTATCAATTCAGACGCATTTTATTTCGAAATTCACACACGTAAGTACTGAATCACACGATGGAATATGTTGGATCACGGATTTTATAAATTCCGCTATCTTCTCAAATTAAAAGATATTTATTTTGAAACAATATCTTTTTTTAATTTTGTATTCATTTAGATTTTAGGGATGGCACACGAAATAGACCCAGACCTCATAACAGTATTTTCTTTTCTTAATTCTTGTTCTATAGCAGTGAGAAGTTCATAAAAAGAAAACTGGGACATTCTTGTGAAATTGAAAAATTTTTCTTCGTCCTGTTTTAGCTGTGGCCACAATATAGTAAAAAAGCCTTTCTCTTTGCGCTGTGAAATAATTGGATGAATCCAGAGACGCCTCCCTTTTTTTTTCTTCATTCGTCTCCGGTAAAACAAGTACAGTAGCATTACATATTCATCATCTAGGTCTAGGTCCATTGCTTTTTTGATTGAACACTACTAGCAAACCTGCTCTCGTTGCCAAGGACCGTGGGCCGCGTCGAGCTTACCGCGGATACGACACGCGACTGCCTCCTCGACGAAAGTGGTCGCCCCGTTTGAACAATTCGGTCGACGAAAGTCGCTCCGTCTGTTTTCTACCTTATCGCGGTACAGTGTGAGAAATATTGTTAGAAGATATAACGTAACTGGTTCAGTTAATACTAAGCCACGATATGTGAAAAAAAGTAATATCACAAATGCCGACCGAAGAGCATTAAGAAGAATAATCGTGAAAAACAGGCGTGCCAATTATTTACAATTAAGTGATCTGTGGAGTGACGCTGTTGGAAGGAGAATTTCGAGGTCCAAAACTCATTGAGAAGGACCACAAACTGGGGTTTAGCACTTGCATGATAAGTTTTCTTATAAAAAAAGTGAAGTAAAAACCCTAAAGTTGTACAACTATAGGCCAAAGAAAAGCCACTATTAACTCTACTGCAAAAGAAAAATCGGCTTAGATGGGCTAAAGAACATAGACAATGGACATCTCAACAATAGTGTGCAATACAATGGAGTGATGAGACCCGATTCGAATTTTGTGTTGGTGACAGTCGCAGTAGTAGTAGTAGTAGTAGAGTTATTCGCAAAAAAATGAACCATACCATGTTGACTGTCTGAAGAGAAAAGTGAAATTTCCAGCAACCATTATGGTCTGAGGCAGTATGTCATCGAAAGGAGAAGGAAAACTTCATTTTATTGATGGAAATGTGGATACAAACAAATATTTGGCAATTTTAGAAGAATCGCTTTTATCAGTGATGGAAGAATTTTTGACATCCGGCCAAGATTTTGAGTTTCAGCAAGATGGTGCAGCATGCCATACCTCAAAAAGGCTATAAAATGGATGAAAGAAAATAATGTACCACGTTTGAAATGGGTTTCTAGCAGTTCAGTTCTGTCACCTATTGAAACTTTGTGGCACGAGATGAAAAAGGTTCTACGACAACATCCTGCTCGTACAATCACCGAAGTGAGACAAAAGCTTCAAGGGATTGTTTTACACCAAACTTTTGCCAATACTTGGTTAACCCAAAGAATTTCAGCCGTAAAAAAAAATAAAGGTGATGTTACCAATGGTAATCTTTCAATTGTGGCTTTGTTAACTTCGCGCATTTATTCGCACATTGTTTATTTGTTCAGATGTTCTATTAGTTATAAGTCTAAGTGATTTCAAATATGTATTTTTTACGATTAGAGTGTATCTAAAATGTTTTTGAGAAAATAAATTGTTTTAGAAGTAAATAGTTTCGTCATGTTTAGTTTATAAAGGCATATTTTGGTACAAATCTTGAAGTGGGCCGCCTTCAGATAGCGTCAGTTGCTGGCAGTCGGCCTACGTGTGAGGACGTGTAGAGAGCAGTCGTCGAATTTCAGTTTTCGTAAAATGACAGAAAAACTTGAGCAGCGATTCTCAGCCAAACACAACATTCCTGTGCTTCGTCAGGCTCCCTACTCACCCAACATGGTCCCGTGTGACTTTTGGATATTTCCTAAGCTGAAAATGCCGCTGAAAGGGGCCCGATTTGAGTCAAGAGGAGACATCATGTGAAATGCAACGGAGCAGCTAAACACCATTCTAAAAACCTCGTTCCAGAAGTGTTTCCAAAAATGAATAGAAGCGCTGGGAGAAGTGGGTGGAGACTACTTTGAAGGGGGTTAAAGTTTCGGAGCTCCAAATCAATAAATATATGAAGAGAGTCTCTTTTGATTCACTCCTTGATAGAGGCGGGCGAAGCAGCTGAAACATCAGTAACTAGTCTATTCAACATATGTGATTCTATTTAAGGACCAACGTAAGAGAAGCGAAAGAGCATACATTTTTTAACAATAAGATCGCTCCAAGTATGCAACCGTTTCCAGTAGATTTAAATTTAAGCTTTTACTATGGCAGTTAAAACAAAAATGTAGTTATTGCTGGAGCGGTACAGGCGGTTGAAGGCAGAGGTAAAATTCATAAAAACTTCAACAAAAACAACTCTTGCCGTTTCCCAGATACCAATGGTGAAGGCCGAATTTGAAACACCCGGTATATGCTAGCAGGGAAAGTTCAACACATATGCTGGAGGCCTGATAAGTATCAAAGGGCCACGTTCACCCCTTATAACGATTTTCATATATATCGTTTTACTATTTGAGATAAACTGATTCTGTGCACACTACACACTATAAGCAAATTTCAAAAAAGTGCACACCCTGTAAAAACAAGTGAAAATAAAATTAGCACTTACCATTTTTCCGCCATTTCTGTATCGCGGTATATGCGAAGTTCTCCTTCATTCTTCCCGTAATCCAAAGGCGCAAATCACTACAAGCACTTATTCCACATACCACTAGCACATTTTTCTAAGTACGACAGAGTTTTCCGTCTGAAAATACAGAAATTAGCGCTGCCGAAGAGCCCGTCAAAGAAGTCCGCGGTATCTCTGAAGTTTTGCTTCATTCTTCCCGTAATCAAAGGTGCAAGACACTACAAAAACTGACCAAACACTTAATCTACATGCCACGAATACACTTTTCCGGGTGCGGCCGAATTTTCCGTTAGAAAACACTAAAATTAACGCTCCCGAAAAGCCCGTGTAAAAGGCCCGCGAAGACTGGTCAAAACAATTGCAATATTGCGTACCAGACGACAGACGTTTTTCTAGGATTTGAAGTTAACCCAGGCTCGAACTCAGTTCCGAGAATTCTGCCAGACCTGTTTTTATTAGCAGGGGGAATTTCATTTATTTTAATGATTAATGTATGTAGTATTAAAGATACCTACTGCAGTTACATGAATATGATGGCAAAAATATAGATAAATCGTATTGCGATATTCTTCCTTTGTAAAATATTCTGTTTCAATTCAGAAATAATAGATTCTATATATCAATTAAATAAGAGTCATTCTAAAACAAAATAATGAAATTCGGTCTTACAAACGGTGTCAAGTAGGCTGACTCTCAGTGGCGGATTTGCCAATAAGCCCTGTAGGCCCAGGCCTAGGGCGGTCAGACATTAGGGGCGGCCAATCGTAACAAGAAATTGACTGATGATATCAAGAAGTAACTG